AATGACTGCGAATAACCGAGCAAACAAACGCTCAACAAGAAACAGCCAGTTACAACTTGCCATTCAATGGATCGGCGGCAGTGTTTCAGGACGTGGTGGGTTTTCGCCTGGCATGCGTTCTCCCCATAAAAAGCCACAAATGTCCGTTTAACAACACTGTGACGTGGCGGATGTGACTCGCCACTGAATAAAGTCACAGCTCATAACTTTACACTGACAGGTCAACTAGCGTCACCATTCTAGATAGGTTCGTTACACTGGAACTTCTACATCTGCATAGCGTGTTGTCTCTTATTTCTATGATCGCACGAATATACTGTGGTCTCTTTCCTTCCTAACATTTTACCTTTGCTCTTTGCGGTACGTACGCACGAGCTCAGTATATTGTCACACCTCTCGATCTTGCTCTTCAATTATCTAATCGGTCATTCAGGATTTTTGGTCTGTTATTAGCTTAGGTATGACTGCAATATATGGCAGACGGATTAGGTACTTACAAACAGGTTCCGATCTCACGACAACGAAATTATTGTTTCACATTTCCACCGTTGTACGGTTCTAATCATGAACATATGAACAATTTTCTACTGTCACTGTTACAGTCGACAGAAAATGTCTGTACAGTTGCACATACCTGATCATGCATCCATGGGAGTGCCAGGCATAGCCGAGAATAAAATATCTATTTATTTATTTATTTAGTAGTAAGTACGGTGCACGTAAAATGTTCGCAAATGTCGTGGGAACGCTGCTTCGTGTGGGCTCAACAGGACGAAGCGATTGACATTTGTGTGAGCTATGGAAGTCGGAGAAACGCAACGGTAGTCAGTTTGCGGTACGCTGGACACCGCTCCAGCATTTGTGTTAGAGAGGAAATATGACTTTATTGAAGTCATCACAGCAGTTAACAACGTAGATAACATTATCACCAATCTGGAAAACCACAAGACGATCATTTCGCCCTACTGGGGTTCGTCAGTGGTCCGCATTCCTCTGCCCCTGTCAGAGTACGGAACTCATGATCACTGGCTGTTTGCATCACTATACAGCAGCTTATGCCACTGAACTATTGGGGAACAGCTGCAGACTGTCATGATTTGATAGCCAACTGCGACGAAACGCGACTCGTCCCCTATTGTTGTATACAGGTCACTTCTCCTGCAGAAAACAGTGACTGACCCCATGCAGTCACGACTTCTCGCAACAGCAGCTTTGTGCACACTATGTGCACATTTAAAGGTTGTTCGGGAGAATCGAAAATGTCATTAATGTAGACCTGTCCGGGTGGGAAATGTGCCTAGTCTCCACTCATCCGGAGGTTTCCCTTCTCACAGAAAGCCATTGGAGGGGAATGGAAGTTCGCGATAAAAATTATAACCTTATTGAAAGTGAGGAGAGTAGGTCTATAAATGAAAGCTAGGCGTGTGCATGATCGAATAAGCGAGGGAGAAGGAAATTAGTGGAGCACATACATCTAATCTAAAGATAATTGGGTAGTGTATAGAGATGAAGGAGGTCACGAGACCATACAGAATGAAGAAGAACAACGGATACCCTGTGCGACAAGTAGTTTCTCACGGACCATGCCATACAGCATGGGGAACACACACCAGTCATGCACGTGGCATTGTTCATCATATGACGAAACGTGATAATTTATGCATCCAGCCAGTTGTGCCTCGGACGGCTTTTAAGAGATCAAGTGGTGTACTACGTAAACTGCACATAGATTGATGGTAGCGCAGCTGAGAAACATACCATCCAGTAGAGGATGACCCTGATTCGGAAACTCTGTAGTGTAAACTGGCGCCAAATGGCTACAAACGAAATTCCGACGAATGCATAGGGTAAATAAATGCGCACACAAGACGATCCGATAGGTTGACGATATAGATGTTAGTGCATTACAATAAATGATATACTTACATTAAGCACCTTATTAGCAGCTGTTCAATGATGATCGGTCTGGTTATGTTAAGCGTTCAGGACATAGCAGGCATGACAGAAGAGAAAAGAAAGATGCGGTCAAAAGACCGAGGTACATTGTCATATGCCGCTTTCTTATATGGAAACAAACGCCAATGACAAAAAATCCACCTAAGCTTGTGTTCGGAAACACAATACTAACCAGTAACCTCCTTATTCTAATCTGATATCATTTATTCGCACCGAAACAGGTAAACATTAGGCTTATGTGAAGCAAAACCTGAGAGTTGCTTTAATCTGTCATTAGTATTGTAGCAACTTGGAGACATATGCGCAGATCCATCTATGCTCGCGTGGTAAAAACAGTCTATGTGTCACCCTATCGCTGCACACGCATAATCTGTTCAGCCCGACCGACTAGAAGAGCAGCGTAATTCCACTCGAAGATTTTGCAACAAGTGTGATATGCCAGCTGTATCAAAAATTAAAAAAGCTCTCTCCAACAGCAACATCCCATTCAGAGATGCCTGTAATGCTCATTGCATTCGACTGTTACATTGCATTTATATTTTCACCGTCTACTTATACAGTTTAACGATCCTCCTTTTTGATTGATGCGCCATTCTGTAGACCGTATGTACAGGCCTTCGATTTTAATTACTTTGTCTTCCCATCTGTTTGACGCCGGACTACTGGGGGGCTTTGGATCATGCCGAACTTTATTGTTTTGACTACGGATGCTTATTCGTTAAAGTTGGAAACCCTTAACATATGAATGTTCTAATGTTTCAATTGTATAAATAGCCCCATAGATCAGTTACGGCGTTGTCTTGTGAATTTTCCGGCGATGTTGCTTACGTTCGAAGCATTTTGAAGCTTAGAATGCCGACAAATGGGAATAGTGTACCGGTTACAAACAAGCAGCATAAGAGGGAATGACAACGCTCTTTGCTAAGTTCGAAAGCTAAACAGACCTAGTCTCCAACGGAAAAATTATCCAATGAATTGTGTCAGGAAGGAACATCAGCAGCATATGATTTTACATGGTCAGATGTGGAACTGGTTGTGGATCGTCGTGAACGTCGAACCGCCCAAGTGATCAAGTTGCGCCGTTCGGTTTTATCGTCCAGCTTTGGAGCAGATGTTGCATTCTTGATGCTTCTTCACCGCAGTTGGGCTAAACCAACTTACACTTAAACAAGGTCTTTTTACACTGGATAAATTGCATTCCACTTTATTTGGTTTGTCCTACCCAGCTGGATAATCTTCTATTAACTGGCCACGTTGCTTACACTGATTGCGCTTATCTTCGGTAACTTTGTTGCGTTTGTAGCATTTAACTAACTTGTGGACGTTTCTTACATATCGTGAATTCGTTGCTAACCAAGTAACTTCATATATTAATATAGCGAAGAGCTAAGCCACCGCATCTGTATGCATTATTGGATTTATTTTATTTCAGCTTGTCGTTTAAAGTGAATGGCTGTTGCTTGATATCCTCGGTTTGGCTTCCCTTGATCTGCATGTTGACAAGGTGCCTACCTGTCTCTTACCCACTACCTCGTCCATACTGGCTCCAGGAGACAGTTAGTCGTTGGTGGAGGGGACGGGGTGCACGGTCCTTGTGGCCGTGCTAGGCTCGAAGAGCGGTTCCATGCAATCAGTGTGGAGCGGACTACGGTCAAGTCATCGCCCTGTGTGCGCTTGATTTCCCAACTACAGTGTGCTTGTGTTTGCCTGTGAAGCAGTGTGGGCCGGCTCCGTTGATGAAACGTGGCTCCCATTCACATGCCTCCCGGTCTTATTCCTTTGAGTTTACACTGGATATGGTGTGTGTGGTTGGAGCTGTGGTTGCTACAGCGCAACCTACCCATGGTCTCTCTGTAGGCGCAGCCGTAATGTGGCTGGCCACAATGACAGGCAAATGCGAAACCAGATGTCGCTAAGCATATATATATATATATATATATATATATATATATATATATATATATACTCGTACCACAACCCAAACGCATGGTTGGCACGCCAAATCCTAACGAGAGACATTAGGCCGCTGCGTCAAACGCTGTCAGCGGTCAATGGATTATTGATCCAGATGTCGTCTGGCAACTATTGCTACTAATTTTTCACTACCAGCTCAGGACATCTTCACTTAAAGAACTCAAATGAGGACAAGACCTATTCTGGAATGAAGTGCTGCTGGCGCTTAACACTGAAAACTTGCCTCTGCGGGTAGATCCCAGTGTTATGGGGTAATGACTGAAGTTAAGCTAGCAGTAAAACGTGGTCCTAATAAAGGAGCGATCCTCCGAGTACTTTTAAACCAAATTGCGGAGTTAAACGTTGATCGGTAGAGTTCGAGACTCTAGTGATCAAGGCCACAGACATCATCGTCTAAGTCGCGAGCTTAACTCCAGCTCCGGTTATCTCTATGTGAAGAATCTAAATACAGAGTACGAATCCGGAGTGGATCGCAATACTATGAGCGAAGACCACAAAAAACAGACTTTTCCAAATTTATGTAAGTCCGCTTTCATCAAAACTGCCCCGCTCTTGATTCAGTGATAAATGCGTACTGATTATCAGAAGTTAGGAAGAAGCCAGTTGTTACGCATGCACTTCAGTATCGATTCGTAAACATAGGCCGTAACATGATTGGTTGAGAATGACCTGGCTTTAGTTTCCTTATTTCATTGGTTTTCCTTTTAGGCTTTTCTAGCCACTGTAACGCAGGATGCTTTTAGTAGATCGGTTCCATACTACACGCGTGCGTTCTGTTCCGTTTATAGGCGAAGAGTTATCCTTAACACAAGTGCCTACTGCTTGGTTTGAGTAGGTTAGTTTGAAAGTGCGAAGAGTAAAACATTGCGTTTGGAGCTGCGGGGAGAAAGTCATTTAAAGTACAAATTTTGGTGTGTTGGTTTCGCTGACGGAACGTCAAAAGCCAGTTATTAAACAGAAGACATACTAGGATGACGAAACGCATCATCATTTTCTGAAATCTGAAGTGAAAGCCAAATATATAGGGTAATAGATGAGCATGAGATTCAAAGCGAAAGGTGAACGCGCACCTGGTGGTCTCCCAATCCGATTCAACTGGGTGTTCTTGTGATGTACTGTAGTAACTGAGAGTGGGATCATACCAGTTGCGAGGCCAACAAGATGAGATATGCGTTCCTTGGCAATCAACTGCATTTGGCGGAATCGGAGAAGACTCAAACACGGATTCAGAAAAGGCTGGTGAATCTGTAACGGATCTATCTGGACCTGCAACAAATAACACAGAAGTTTTGACTCACAGTTACAGGTGCGCGAAAGTAACAAGATATAATTAAAGAAACTGATGCACCGGGGTGTGGTCTCGAGATACCGAGCGGCAAAATAACCATAGAGTACGTCCAACACTGAAACCGGAGGCATTTCAACTTCTTGGGGGGGGGGGGCAAGTAGTCAAAATGCTTATGAGCCCGCGATAACAGGTACCAAATAATCACCTGGAAACCCCTAAAAGCAGGATATTGTGGTGTTATTGAGAAGATTCGTCGCAGCTAGACTCAGTCAGATAGTCACCACACATCCAGGAAAGCACTAAGCAGTCGGTTTGTCCTACTGGGACTTGTCAGTACCACGCATTCGCCGAATTCTGCTGGGTCCGAACCAATGACCTTACGCTAACGAATCAGTGAAAGGGCCATTGGTGAGGATTAAAGGCCGTCACCACTAATCACCAACAGCAACATAGCGCCGCTTGTCCTCAATTTCCATGTAGATTATGAATGTGCATAGGACAGGGATGGCCCCCAGAGCTACGACTTCCCTTGCAAGTCACCACCAATATGGATGGCAGAAAGCAGCTCAAGTGATTACTGACAGAGTTACCAGAGTACATTGTGTTTTTAAAAAAGCACGCACAGTCGTGACGGTCTGCTGACGTCACCAAGCGGCACACGCCAATATCGGTGATAGCTCGTGGGCTCGGTTGCTGACGAAGCTCTAGGGGAGAGAAAATGGCCGTCTCTAACAAGACCTTCCGATTGCACTCACAGACAATGCGCTGCTCGAACTCCTTTCAGTGCTTAAGTAGGAATGCTGCTCTGCTTGACACCGATGTCAGACATAGGTACTTGCTCAAGATGACTCCTGAACACCTCTGTAGTCCAGAGATATCAGCCTGTACTCGTAGGATTCGTAAGATTGTAGTCCCGGTGGAAAAGACGCACAGAGCTGTCGACGAAGTGAGAAAGGGTGTAACAGTGTTCCGGTGCTTCCATAGAAATAACAATCTTTATACTGCCAGCACATGAAATGCCAATTTCGATATGGCAATTGATAAAGTGCGTAACAGGTGAACACGGTCGCCCTGTGGAAATTATCGGCTGCCGAAAAATCGTAACTAGAAGCAGTAGCAAAAAAGGAGCCCATGACAAGAGTAGGGCGAGACATACATGTGCGATCATCGCACAGATGAAATGGAAGCCGCCCACCTTTGACAAATCTAATAACGGAAAACAGATCATTCGGAAAGCTGCCCCACTGGAGCTGCAAACATTACAAGCATCAGTGACGAAACTGACGGCTTGCATATGGGCCCGAACAGAAAAGATAATTTAGAACACACAATGGCACAGTGGATGCTGGTGCACAAGAGCAACTCGAGAAACTTGATGACCCATTTACAAAGAGCATGAATCAGGACCATAACGCGCTGGGGTCGAAGTGCAGATACGGCAGTCCGCCCACGTCACCATGGTAAAGACAAGCTAAAGATAAGGCCATGATCGAACCTGAAAATAGCTGAGTTCTATGAAGATTCGTGACTGCACCATGTTTAGTAGGGTAGTTAACAATTGCGGTAGCGGATTCCGGTTACAAAACTCATGAGAACAGTGTTCATCATTCCATTCGGCCTTCTAGTTAACGCTCCAGTGCTAGGACATCCAATAGTCAGCGATCTCGTAGTTTCACTCAAAGCAGCCGACTGGCATGTACGCATAAGAAAAAGTACTCCGAGTTCAGTAAAGAGAGCTCAGTGCGGCGACAGAAGATGTGTTATCAAACACAAGTACTGCTCTACTAACACATCAAGGTGAGCCAAGATGATCTTACAGTGCAGTGTCCCAATTGATTAAAGAAAGGAATAAATAGTTTATTCTCGAATTTATCCAGGCACGTCAAATCACGCATGATCAAAATTTACACGCAGTTATGTTTCGCAACCTACACAGTGCTATGTATGTAATCGGCAGTGACTGAAAGTTGTACAGGCTGCAGAAATGGAAGAAATACTCATGATGAACAAAGTCGTCAATGGATGACGAAAATTTGGGTTCATGTGTGCATAGTGTAAACAGTAAAAGCATCATAAATGTAGGGGGGAGACGGTAGGTGTGGACGATAACAATGATCGTAATGCCAGGCCGCACATCCCAACGTCAAGGTTGGAATCTGAAAACGTGCTCGACACTTTGAAAAAAAACATGGAAGGTTCATTGGTGCGCACAACATTCTCTACGTCGATGAGACTATCATAGGCGATACACCCACCTAGTTAAGTGAATCGAATTACGTTTACATCCAAGACCGCGATGAGATCGGTAGCGGTGTGTGATGTTAAGTAGATGAACACGGAAGGATGCTTTATCAACAGAGTGCTGTACACGCACAAATGTCGACAGAATAAGACAGATAACCGAACAGCCGGTGTCAATAGTGAAAAGAAACTTCCAACGGGACAAACAACTAAGGTGGTTCCATCAAATTCGAACATAATGCAGAGTAAAACTTTAAGGAGTGCAAAGTATGTGATACAACTGTAACTAGGGGGAATATTGAGAAAAATCGAAATGGAGTCAAAATTGTACTGTTGTCAAAGAAACGTACCGCGGCCAGGTATATCAACCAAGTGGGCAAGGATGGAACCCAATGGGATGGTCGGGTTTTGTTCCCATGGGCTGGATGCGCGAATGATAGAATCATTCGATGATATAGCGGAAAACTTCGACATTGACGAGTACAGTTTGGACGAATTGTGCGTAGCACCAACAGAGGTAGATGGCCAGCAAACGCTCCAATTCGGTTGCAGTGAGGTCTCTGTAATAAGCGATGAAGACGGCTTCAAAGATGGTTGATGGACAGACGTAACTTGGAAACATACCTGAGCACATCTGATGATGACGCTTGCCAAACGCAGAAACGCAATATGGTGTAATTGAAGGGTCGCAGAGATAATACATGATGTTATTTATTTATCCACAAGTCCGACAACAGACAAATGTGCCATCAGAACAATGGTACATTAGCAACGTAAATAAGAGAATAAATGACTTACGGATGCTGGAGAGTGAGATAAAGGCCGTTAGATAGACAACACTTAGGGATAAGAGGGTAAGGACACCCATGAACATAGACAAAGGGTTAGAAAACACCGGTTTTTGACGACATTTACGAAGATACATCTTGGTGATCCGTCTGTAGCGGAAAATGTTATCGTATCAACGTGGGTTTACTTGTTGACGTGCAGATAACGTGAATGGATTACGCCACGCGATCTACAAGGGCAATCGCGTTTTATTTCCAAGTGCTGAGAGTGAGGAACACGCATATCAGGTTGCTTCGGGAAAAAATTTGAACACCCACTAATGTGGTGTGGTGTTCCGTAATAACTCAAACCTGTCCCATTAAACGACAAAGCGCACATCAGGTAAGAAAGATATGCAGTGGAGAGAATGACGGAGGAAAAACAGAAACACAACCGTTGCGGAAGATGTGGGTGCCGGGATCCAACCAGCGTACGACGTAAGGACGCAGAGTCCGCATTGTGACCCCGATTCGGTGGAATCGACATGAGAATAATTCTTAATAGTTCGGAAGTTCGTCTAAGGTGTCCAACAGAGCAAAAAAGCATTTTCGCACATATTGTACGCGACATTGCTGGTGATGGTGTAAACTGTGTTCTCGATTAGAAATAATCATCTTCCATTGGACAATATTGCTCCTCCAACTGCCCACCTGTTTTAGGGGCAAACAACGAGTAACTCGGTGCGGAAATGAGTACGCCTCAATAAGCAACGCAGAAAGGCACCATCTTCGGGATGATACACACCAATGGATAAAGACCCAATCAGACGTAGCGTAATCATTGGCGTTCCTCCATTCGCTCCTCCGTCCCGATTAGTTTTACGCATTACTGTATTCAGTTTACTTGCGAAAACCATACAGGCATCGGCCTTGTTCCCATTGTAGCCAAACTACTCACGGGTATCATTCTCCGACAAAATACTGGTCCCCAGGAGAACCGAATCACTGAAAGCCAGGCTGGCTTCTACCCTGGTCGTCGTTGTATCGACCGGTTATGTACTCTTCGTTAAATGTTAGAGTAGAGAGGTGATTTTCCTTGACTTGAAAGCTGCCTTCGACTCTGTGGACAGCACCAGCATGTGACACTGCCTATTCATGAAGGGCGTGCCAGCTAAACTCGTTTCCATTACACAGTTTCTCTACCGTGATTCCCGAAGCCGTGCAAGGGTCTACGGGAAACTGTCTCCTGAGTTCAGCACGACAAGCGGGGTTCGCCAGAGTTGTCACCTTTACTCTTCAACGTTGTGATCGAAATGATCAGGAATGATTGGGTGCTTACAAACTATACCGATGTGGAAGTTTTGCCCGGTGACCGACCGACAAACCTAGAGAATACGGATGACATAGCTCTTTTTGGGTCTGACAACTGCACAGACTGACGCGTAGCGCTGCAAACTTCGGCATTTGCTTTCCACCTTCGAAATACAAAGTACTGTTGCAAGACTGGACCGACCTACCACTGCTTCTAACTATCTCCGAACAGTTACTGGAGGTAGTAGATCGGTTCACGTACCTTGGTAGCTGTGAGACCTCTGGTGGCCACATCACTGAGAAAGTTACTTCGCGTATCAGCAAAGCCCGCATAACCCTCCAGAGACTCAACCATCTATGCAGAAGGCGGGATAACAGACTGTCAGTGGAAAGTAGGGCATATAACGCTGCGGTAAGGGCGGTGTTACTGTATGGATCAGAGACCTGATCACTTCACTTGGTCGTATTTGACCACTGGTGCTTGCAGAGCATTGCTCAAGCCTGGTTGGAACACCAAGTGAGCAATGCTGAGGTCCGCCAGCTGATTTTTGACAAGAATCCTTCTGGTGCTTCACTCGAGTGTTTGCTTAAACTCCACTGCGCACGCTGGCTGAGCTATGTCCTCCGTATGCCCCTTGACCGGCTTCCTCGGCGTGCATTACCTGCCGTGGCTACACCAAGTTGGGAGAAACCGCGAGATGGCCAGTTGATGACGTGGCATATGGGGCATGCAAAAATCGAGTGAGACTGGTGCATGTCGATGTCGTGGATGGGGGTCTCGGGGTGGTCCACGCTAATATTTGGAGACGGCATCAGATATAACGCAGCCGCGCGGTGAGTGGTGTTGCTGAATTCGGTTACTTGCATCTGGGTGTTAATTTTCGTCAATTCTGATTGGTTTAATGCACTTCCTTGTTGCTTCCATTTTCCTTACATGCTATTTTCCTTTAATACCACTATTTTGCCATTGTTATTTATCGTTATTCCTGCGATGTGAGCCGTGACAACTGGATCCACACCATACTTCGGTGCTCGAATCATAGTTGTTCAACGGAATTGAAGTGAAGTGAACCTCTTTTGTATTCGGTGTGCGTTCCAACACATTTTTCACCATCGTTAAGTATTACTTTGCTGGTTACGAGAGTCGTGACAATCGGATCTATCACATTTCAGCGTTCGGATCACAGTTTTAGACTGAACTAATGCATTAAAATCGGATGCATGGCATGGTGGCGACAAGGAATTCAAAAAAATCCAATTCTGTTGAATCCACATCACAGACGGGACCGATTAAGCATGAGAATACTTGGTCGGAGTATGTGTTTGGGAAAGATTTTGACTGGGACAGTTAGGGGAAGCAAGAAAAATTTTTCGTGAAAGTATGCTGTTCAAACTAAACATATTACAGGAGCAAGCACGTGGCTTGTCGTAGGATATATGCCTCGCAATATCTTGGGCAAGCGAGCGTTAGTCTGTGGTGTCATTTAATCTGTGTTGATAAATGGTCCCATGCGTCATACCTGCGGTGGAATTATGCTGCGCAGCCTTTGAAAACGCACAAATGCACTATGGTCCACACATGGCATTCAAAAAGAACGAAAATTGCTCTGGAGCAATGTCAGATGAAGCCAACTCCCAGAGCTTCGTCCAAACTATGAGCTTTGTGCTCGGGTGGGGTGAACTCTGGTCAGAACTAACCGAAGTGAGATAAGAGAAATAGGAAAGACAAAAACGAGTCCCTTCTCTTCGCGGAACCCGGTTGATGATGAAAGTGTCAGCAAGCGTAGCTACCTATAGAGGAGAAGCACACGCAACAACGGAGCAGATTATGGGGAGCATTATTGAGAAAGAACGGCACCTAGCATTTAAATGTTTCCAATACAATCCCAATAACCGAAAAGGTCGAGGTTCTCTCCAAAGCAGCGGTTCAAGTTAAGAAAGCGAGTCTTTATCTATTCAGGTAGCTAAAGCAGAAGAGCTGCAACAGTGAAAGCTAATCTCCTTTGTCAGAGACACGAAGTAAACAGACGCGTGTGAGTGGTTTCTAATGTGATGACAGTCCTGTGACATATGACAAAGGGCATGCACTGCGCGAGTAGTCGCAGGAATCCCCTGATATCAACTACTTTGTCTGTTGCACTGCAAGACTTCAGAGGCGAAGCAGTGGATTATTACCGTGGCAGTAATTTCAACGCATTTCACACTAAAAGAGATCGCGCAGCAACTGGTCTAGCACATGGCGAGAAGAAATCGAACCGCTGACTTTCAGTCTAGCTATTACCAGTCCTGTGCGTCTTCCGAGCTGTGGATCCACCACTGGCTAGAAACCTTGAGGGTATGGCTCGGAATCGGGCTCATTGGAATATATGTGTGAATTTACTTATTGGTGTAACAGAACAGCACCGTAATAACAAAACTGAAAAAGGCAACAGTGTGTAAAGAACGCAAAAAAGCAAGTACATTTCCACCCTTTTCCCTGTGTGATTTTTAAAATGGTTACGCACATTCGTCATGGTTTTTCTTACGCCTCTAGGTATGCAGTAAGAACTGTATCATATGGCGGAGGCGAATAAGTGCCAAGCGACTTCTCTTTAGTTACTTGTAGGTTCGTATTGGAAATGCACTCCAAACCGAGCCCAAAGCAGCTCATTGGCTAAGTGGTTAAGCCAAAACAAAGGCAATCGTCTGTGTCGAGGCACTAGCCTTCTTGTAATTCCGCTTCATCAGTTAGCCAAGCTCACATGGCTCATGGTGATAATTCAGCTCTACGGGAGGATAGTAAAGCTACAAAATAAGCAATGTATAGGTAGTTGAACGTACTGGACTGAAATTAATTTCCACTGAGTTTCAACCCACAGCAATGTAGAGAAAAGTTGTTCTCACGACTACAACCTGGTATGCTGTGCCCGTGACTCAACGAGTCGATCGGTCACTGTATTGCATTTTTCAACCTTAGTATCACAATAGCCTATTCGGCCATATACAACAAAAAGCAAAGTAGGAAAGATTCTGTGGTGGAATGTAGGTAGAAGATCAACAGGTCAGCGAATTTCTCCTCAAGAAAGAGGTCCGAATCGGGGATGAACTACCAGATGAAAATACACTTATGATTAAGAGAATGGATTTCATATAAGGATGAACTAATTTTTAACCGTGCAAGCTATTGAAATATCACATAATAAAAAGCCAGGATAAGGAAACTTTCTGAGATTCGTATAATCCATTAGTCCGTTTACACTAACAATCGTGTGCACGGGAGGCGGCGGAGAACAAACTGAACATACCTCCCACCCCATTCTCCTCCGGCTCAGCTAAATCACAATCCACAGGACTCCACCAACAGATGTGGGTTAAAAGAGATAGCCAACCGAGTAGGATTTTAATTCCTCATTTCTATCGACCAATGAGATCAAACCCGACAACGTCATCAAGCAGGTTCGAGTCTGCAAGTAAACGTTGAAAGCAGGGGCCGGGCGATTATTTATCCTTCAACTCTGTCGTTACAATTTCTTACCTCTTAAACATCTCTCTCTTGCTTCGACCTCGTGTAGTTACCGCAAGCAACATTCGATGTGTCCGAACTCTTGATCGATGCATCCCGTCCTAACGCGTTACACCATATATTTATCTATTTACAATAACTCGCACGTATGGTTAAATATAGTCTCCTTTTCGCTAAAACACCTAAGTATTTCATACCTACATTCTCATAGACCAAACTCATTCAACTGTTTTCTCCGTAAAAAAGATATAGGAAAGATAAGCGCCATTAAGGATGAAAGAAAACTATGCGCTAGATAACAACACGTAACCTACCAGTGATAGAGGAAGATAACGGACAGCCCTTAACCTCCAGCAGTGAGCGTGCTTCCGCATTGATGGCGCACTTTGCTTCTGCGTTTCAGATGACCAGGTGTCTGCAGTGAGTTCCGCGCGAACCACGCTTACGGAACTCGACAGTCTGGATTGTGACGTAGAAGATGTGCGTCAGCTACTCGAAAATCATGACGGAGGTAAGCCTGCTGAGCCTGACGGTCTCCACCCCCTGATTCTCAAATCAGTATCAGCCATCATCTCGCCTGCCGTAACCGATCTGTTCAACAGGTCTCTGTCCGAAGGTACATTGCTGATTGATTAGAAATGCTCTGTGGTAAGACCGATTCCAAAAGGTAGATAATTACAGGCCAATTTGTTTGACACCTATTCTGGCCAAGGTTGCAAAGATTGTGAAGGAACATTTGCTATACCTGTTCCGGTCAAAAGATCTCCTCACGCCTGTTCAACACGGTTTCACGCCAGGGCGTTCATGCATCACCAACCTGCTCGTGACGAGTCATGAATGGATGCAGGCAATGAACTATGGGAAGTCTGTCGAGGTGATTTACTTCGATTTTAGTAAAGCGTTCGACATGGTGAAGCATGGGGTCCTCCTTCTAAAGCTGAGAGTGTGTGGTGTTGGTGGACCTCTGAACCGGTGGATCCAGGACTTTCTCGGTGGACAAAAGTGGAGGGTACAAGTCTATAGCCAACTGACCGAGTGGTATTTTTCGACCAGTGGCGTACTACAAGACACGGTGCTGGGGCCTACATTGTTCCTGATTTATATCAATGACTTACTTTAGCTTCGTCGATCGCCGTGTGCTTTGTTTGCAGACGAACTGAAGAGAGGGAGATTGATAAACACACCTGACGACTGCGGCTTACAACAAGACCTAAACTATCTTTCCGTGTGGTCTGCAGAAGTCCGCCTCCCGGTCAACGCATCCAAGTCGGTATTCATGAGTCTGGGAAGCGTAGTGACAGTCGAACATAAACTATGGACGACCAACTGCTATACCCCATAACTTCTATGAAGGACCTAAGAGTACTCTGAGGTTGCGGGTTGAAGTCCATTGAAAATCCGAACACGTTATATCGTAACGGACTGCGCATGCTCTGGGCACTCAAACGCCGTTTCTGCATCTGGTCTGAAGAGGTTGCCACTAGCTTCTTCTCCATCATCAAGCAATGCTAGAGTACGGCTCGTCTGCCTATTGCCCAACAACTCGCGGCGAGACGCAGAAGATTGAACGGGTTCGACACGTCGCTACTAGGCTCATGCCCAGTTTGCGAGGCTTACCGTACGAGGACAGGTGCTATAGACTAGGGTTGTTCACCCTGGCATACCGTCGGTTACGTGTCGACCTCATTATGACCTACCGGATTCTATATGAAGCCGACTTCCGCATGTTAAGGCCACTGCACTACTTGTGAACGGCTTGTAGCACACGCGGACACCAATACAAGCTTGTGGTTCCAGATGTGAAGCGAGTTCCCCAAATCCCCTGTGCTTGGAACGGCGAGTGGTAAATGTCTAGGACAGTTTGCTGAAACATATAGTGGAAGCAAACTCAGTGCCGTTATTCAGACGATCATTGGATGCGCATTTCTAAGATATTCGATTGCATGACTGATTACCCACAGGCATCTCGTATTTTTGAGACCTAAACTACAGTGAGTTAAATAGCTTTTAACCATATAACATGAGAAGGTGAAAAATGGCCAACGTATTGACAAGTCATAGTGTGCTTTCTGAACGTTTTGATTATATTTTGATGGTTGTACAGATTCAAATGCCCACTTGCTCCCATAATACAGATTCAGAACAGCGAATTAATCTCTTACACGAAGGTCCATCAATTTTGATTAACCGATTGGAAATTTCATTCAACCGGCAGTTACAAAATGCATACACTGATGCATTAGTGCATCGCGCATATTGCGCCAACAAAGGAATATTTCGATCAAATCCTCCATTGGAACAATCGTCGAAAAAAAGGGATATAAATTGTCAATCTTCTCAACATATGAGATGGATGGCCATTCGAGTAAACAGGCAAAAGTGGATCTGAAGAGCAGATCCATGTGCGGTGTTTGTGTGAATGACCTCGATACTCACAACTTTACTGGTGCACACACGCATAGTGTGAGTTCCGTGAAGAAAAGTAGTGTCAAGTATGTGAGAACGACCTATCGGTTTGCAAGTCTGTTCTTATGATAGCCCCTCCCCTCCAGACATAAGGTATGTCACCTTGTGACACAGGAAAAGTGCACCTAGATTGGCCTCACCTCTAAAGCCATGTGTAGACCGGTTCTACCATGTGAGTGGAAATGGATGTTGAAAGAGATGGAAACATTGAAACAAGAGACGATCAGACGAAAACAAGCAGTGCACGCACGCACGCACACATAGTGGGGGCTGTGAGTTATGCACAAAACGTACTCTTATATTGTGGATGAGATGAAGAACATTCCTTTGGGGCGGAACAGACGGATATATCGTCAAGACTGCAAAGAGAGGAAAAACAGACGGCGTTAGGACACCTCAACGGATAGCATTTGTCAATGGGACCAAATACAATAATGTACGACCATTGTTACGAAGGTAAAACAGTAAGTCCCTTTCAGCCATTTCGTCAGAGCAGTGAGAAAACGTAAGTTGCAATATGTCAACATTTCGATTGTTCTCCTCAGTCACAAACACAATACAACCGGGATTCTTAGACAGTTATATACAGGGGGAAAATTGGCCCACCAATCAAAATGTCAAAATCAAGACCATGGTAACCTAATTTGTTGTCTCAATAGTTTCTGTGCACACAACACAGGTTAATAAGACTTAATTAGCAAAGCCTCACTAATTGCCAAAAGTATCGGATTGTTGTTGTGTAATAACACCTTGAACGCAGTCTACGGGTTCACCCGGTGTCGAGTTGCCAAGAGATGCTTGGTGATAGATGATGCGGGACTCCTGTTCATCCTCGGATCCACACCGTTTTGTTGCGTCATCAGTTGTTCCAACCACCTCAGTACATATTCAGCTACCCTCTAAGCTAACTGACGGTCAGTCCTGTCTATGTAAATGTCACCGCAACCGCAGGTGAACTGGTAAACGACGTGAGAGGCCGAACTGACATGAGTTGCTCTGACGGTCATGAAGAACAAGACTTCGCGTTGTATGCATGAGATTGTGAAAAACGAATGAGAGCTCTTGGGTCCTAAGGGATGCGCTTGCATCAGGGTGTGAAATCAGTAGACCCCCGATGATGGGAGTAGGTGATATCCCCTGCCAACTTAAGCTAAGGGGCATGTATTCTGAAAGTTCCTACATCCGGCCATTGACAAAATAGTCGAACCTGCGAAAAAGCAAAAAGTAGGGCAAGACCAAGAGTGGGAATGCAATGGAGACATAAAGGTTACTTGAGGAGGTTCACCACAGTAGGACTGCCATCACACGTTTCGAGAACTGCCGGACACCTGTTTCATCCAACTGGTACTCAATAAACAGCGCGAATTCGCCAAATTTCGCTGTATTCCAACCTATGATCGTCCTCCTACAAGCCAGCAACTCAAGTCCCTAAGTTATGGACGATGTAGGTGGACTATAATGACTAATCAGGAGCAAAAACCTAGCGTAACTCATCCTCAACTATGGTGCGTAATAATGCCGCGAGATTACGCGGCTGACTCCGTGGGCCACGGCTTTCTCAACTACGTATGCGAGCTAGATTCATGCTGATGAAGAGTCCCGGAAGGAAGAAACGGCCCTCTGGCGCTTTCTCGGATTTGTGATGCCTAACTGACTGGATCTGGTTGCGACAAACAATCCAAAAATATTCGTCATATTTATCTCAAAATGTGAAGTTTGTTACACTCATCCGCAGTAGGAGTTGAGCATAGTGCGTGTTATCCTCGGCCAAATATTCCGCTAAAAAATACATGCATTCATTCATTATTTATTATACATGGTAGCTAAAGGTGGGAAAGACCACAGCTCTTGTGACGCAGTACAGGAAAAAGAAAAAGGACGCAACGGAAGCGCGCGAGCTCAGCTACCGGTAAAGCTAGCAGTCGGCTATTGTGCTACAAAATGGTCATATAATGTGTCAGGAATGAGATCGTGGTTGGATGAGAAGGCCAAGTGGGAGGGATAAAGAAACGCACGAAACAAGTGCCATTTCAACAGGCGTGACCAGGTAAACTGGATCGCCATCTTCTTGCCCCAAGCAGGGAGCCGATAAGCTCCAACCGAGGCTAACCTCGAACAAAGGGCCTTCATTCCTCTTGACCAAGTTATCGCTTGGCCTCCCCTCCTCTTCTTTCATCCACACCTCCGGCGCGTAAACGACAAAAGTCTCCTGAGTCGGTGTGTCGGTATGTGCAACACGTGGCCTAGCCATCGGAATCCGGTGCGTGACATAATGATCCTGAGTGTTTCACTTCCCGTACCAAATACACGACAGCGAACACGATCACTGATCACGCAATCTAACCAGAAATGAGTTAAGCTTGGAACGCACCGGTGGTCGAAGGCAGCTAGTCTCTTTACGTCTACCAAGCTAACGGGCCACGTTTCACAACCGCACAGTAAGGTCGAAAGTACGGCTGCATTGTACACTCTTAAGTTCAGGTAGAGAGTAATATCGCGCCAGCGCTATATGTGGTGAAAGTTAACAAGAATACATCAAAGAATACATCGGCCGCAGGATAACCTGATGTGAAAAGTTGACTGCGGCGGAATATAGTCAATAACACAATGAAATATCAGCGTAAGACGAAGAAACGCAAAACAAACCAACCTAGAACCTGGAATAATGTTCAATGCTTCACTGAGGGCCGTATCGGTCATCGGATTCGAAGATTCGCTGTCGGTGCTGCGTCCATTCCCATCCCGCTTCCTGGAGCTGGTAAGGAGTGGATCAATTGACGGAGAGTTGCAGGCAAAATAAACATACTTTTTCGCCGCAGTTTGCTTGTGTGCGTTGGTCTTGCGTCGTCCTTGATGACCTGACTCCTCAGCCAGACGCATAGTTGCCCTGACGGCAGCGGCTATTTTGGCCTCAGTCATTCGAGCAACAACAGGCTCTCCACCAGTATCCGCAGCTTTCGGTAGTGATGAGGGAAAGTCTTTTAGAAGTGGAGAACAGTTCGATGTTGTTGTGTCACCATAAATTTTTAGCTCGGAGGTGGATTGAATTGTTATAGACGGGTCGGATTTCAGATATCCTCTTCGCCGTCGAATAACGGTAGAAGCATCTGGGAAATGTGATCCAGAGCTGGCTGAGGAGTTCGAGGAATGGAACCGCCTGTTTTTAAGTGAAAAGATGAAACAGTGAAAATACAAAATCCGCAATATGTTCCGTTGAAGCAGTCACAAGGAAAATGCTCACTGAAGGGACGATAGTGAGGTCCATTGGGGGCCCGTTCACAAATAGGCTACCCACATTACAACGTTGAAATGAACACATAAATTGTCTGGGTTTGTTCAGACATCAATAACATACCACTAGAGCTATCGAAAGCCCCAATCACAATGGTATATGCACTCGCAGTCAGTAGCACAGGTTAGTGCTAATACCAGTTGGATGGTGTAGAGGCTGACACGTGACACATCATCATCATCATCATCATCAAAGCAACAAGTGATGAGAGGAGGCGAAGGATGCATCAGGCAAAATGCAGTGCGCAAGGAATAAGTTCCTTGGTGCGTCTTGCAAATGACGAACCGAGCAGAAAGTTGAGCGCTATTGCAGCAATACTTCAGTAATATTTACTCATGAGCAAGGGGTTGTTCATGCAATTAGTTAGAAGTACATCCTAGTTTCTAAATGTTATGTCGGATATAGCTACTGTCATTGGAAGTTGTGTGTTTGGACGCCAACCCTGTGCTCTGCGACGTTGCTAACTTGTATGCCAGGGGAGGATAACATGCGCTATATCGTCGCTAGCTTGTAAATCATAACGATCAGCCTCTGCCTTCCATGGTTCAGTAGCATAAGCTCCTGGATGGCATTTCAAGTCGCTGGTGATCATGGGTTCGGATTTTGATGGATCTGATGAATGTGCAATACTGACGAGATCCAACGGGTCGAAAGGGCCGTCCAACACTTTTCCGGGTGTGTGGTGGACTAACTGGTTTTGAATCTGCTGCCATGAACTTTCAGTTAATTACTTCAGTAACACTAAGAACGTGAGGGCACCGCCAGTGATGATGATGGATCGCAATGCGTACAAGCATGAACGGACGGAGCCAGTGAGGTGTCGAAGTAGGTATGACGAGCCGATAGAGACGCCAGGCCACAAGAAGAACACTAGAAACTTTGAACAGAATGATGAATTCGATTATGTGTGCTAGATGGGACGACAATAGGAAGAGATGTAGGTACTGAAACATGATAAAATATTAGTAAGATAAAGAGCGCAGAAAACAACAACCGGACTTGGCTCACAAGATCGTGTCTCGTGACACCGGCAGTGGGTGGCATTTTGATTACATGTTCAGTCAGACAGTTACCGCACATTCAAAAATGATTGGACTGCCGGTTCATCCTTTGGAAAATCGTCAACAGTACGTTGGGTGCCGCCCACGTACCTTGACCCAGTAGCCCTACTAACAATCGGCGTGTAGGCGCGCATGGTTGCGAATTCTATTATCCCCAAGAGGAGTAGATGGAATGTACATCCCCAAAAGGGAGGAACGGTCATAAAGTGTTTTTCCAGACGCAGGGTGTTTATCTGTGATTGTGAGGAATCTTCACTGATAATAAGCATCATATTAAAAGAATGCAGATAAACGATGTAGTAAAATCACACGCACAGGATAATCCTTAAGAAAAACACAAACTCTATACTGATGGAGACGAAGCAAGTACTTTCAATGGTTGAAATTTGAAACGTAGAAAAAGGTGGTTTGCCACCACAGCCAAACACTGCGCGCGACTGCTTCATCACCCGCATCTTGTCCTATCACCCGGGGCGAAGTACAAAGGATTGAGCGGGTACAGCATGTGAGCGCCAGTCGTATCCCCACTTAACGAAGTGTGCCGTACGAAGACCGGATGCAAGAGACTTTAAAACCCGGAAATCGACTTTACACCTTGTCTTAGCGTCGACTGCTGGTTGACGTCACAATGACGCACCGGATAGTACATCTTGGTAATACCCCATGTTGAGGTCGCTGGTCCATATGTGCATACCAAGCAGCACACGAGTAGGCCGGTACAAGCTTGTAATACCGAATTTGAAACAAGTTGCTCCCAAACTCTGCCTAGAAAGTAGGGTAGATTATATGGAGCAGTTTGAGGCTGCAGGTAGTCGAAGTAGAGCCGGAGTCCGATTTGAAAAAGTTCCTGGACAAACGTTTTACCGACATGAAATATCGGGAATGCCCTTCAAACATAATAGGTCACATTTTATTTGAGGGATTTGAAATGCAGTTAAACAGACATCTCTTTTTGCTGCTTCCAGCCAGTATTTAGTATCCATAGGACCAGATGTCATCACCAGCAGGGAAAGCGCAAGGGAAACAAATTCGCTTGCCCAAATTGCGACCCGAATGCCCAAAGTGAACTAAGCACATGGATATAACGATATGACAAGGCCGGTGTTACTCTGTATGGATCAGAGACTTGACCACTTCACAGTGAAGAGATTAAATGCCTGGTCGTGTTTGACCACCGGTACTTGCGGAGTATTGCTCACGTCCGCTGGGAACATCGGGTGAGCAGTGCTAAGCCCTCTGGTGCCTCACTCGAGTGGGTGCTGACTCTTAATCGCTTACGCTGGCTGGGTCAAGTCCCCGTATACCCTATGACTGCCTCCCTCGGTCTGCATTATACGTCATGGCCACGTCAATTTGGGCGAAATCACGAGGTGGCTATTCTATGGCGTGGTATACAGAGGCATAAAGAAGTTGGCTGCGAGGCTTGGTTATGTTGGTTCGTGCGTGCATTTCTCGTGGATGGTGGGTCCCAGGACGGTCCATGTCGCAAAACTCGGTCCTTCAGGGACAAACGGTTTATTCGGCGAAGCGAACTCAGCAAAAATGACAGTCCGACAAGCATGTAGGAAGCTCGATATAAATAACTAAGTCATTTCCATAACTAACAACGCTGCTGCACTCATGTATTAGTTAAACAAACCCGCTCCAGCGAGCCAATCAGCGCGTAGACGAAATATGTGAAGCTGTCCAAGCAATTGCTCTGTTCGCATACGGTAAGCTTGCTTACACAATCCTATTCCAGTCCACACCAGCGGTTAGAGACTATCAAACATGATGCAGTCGGTGGCGCTCCTGCAATCGGTTTCATGTATCTGGTTGTTCCAGTTCATTCAATCCTGATTAATTTAACATACCTCGTTTTCATGCGGTTGTTAGTTACTGTTGTTCTGACGATGTGTGAGTCATGGGAATTGGACCCATAGGTGTTCAGCTGGACTGATTGAAGTGAACTGAACCGAAAGCGGGATGAACAAGGGGGCAAATGTGTACTGTTACGGCGAACACGCGATATGTGGGTGCATGTTCGATCACTTTTTGTGATCTGAACAATGAACATGTCTGTAAAGGGAAGCTTTGAGTTGTCGATAATAAAAATTTCACTTGTTTCTCTACTCATAAGATGGGAACAGACAGTGTGGAGTTCACACAAACGGGGCATACCGTGGGTTGCGGTGAGACTTCAGGCCACTGGGGCAGCACGCATTTGGATGTGAAGGTGAGCGAACCTGAAAAGGAAGTTACGCAAAAGCAACAATTCACTTGTTGTTGTCTCATAGAATGGTCGGAAAAGGATGCAACCGAGTGAAAAAAGTTAGAACGAGTTAAACAGTACAACAAAGAATGAGACATAAAAGGATGGAATTAAGGGACCGGAGGACTAGTAGTTATAGAAGACACATTTAATAGAAACACAGTTGGTGGTTTCACAAATGTGTTAAGTGGAAACAGATGTTCCCGCTGCTGATGAACACGGTCCTGTGTGTCACATCGTTTACCGGACAACGTGAAACAGTGTAAGTAGAGAACATGTGACACAGAGGGGCAGCCAGGATAAAGCACTGGTACCTCAAAACCACTATGATCCGAGTACAGAAGTGCAGTGTGTTTGGTCATCAGAATAATAATGGTAATAATAATTACTAGTATATAAGATGGGCGACCAGGAATCAAAATCCATATGCGAAAGACGAAGATAAAAAGATCAGGAACGAAAGAAACAACAACGCTGACACTTCCATCACGCCATATACGAACGGTGTCGAATCACTGGTGTGAAGGATAGATAGGGGTCGATGCAAAGAAACGGAAGACACCAGATCTTCAATAAACATTATGCTTTTTCAAGTTACTGACTGGCCATCTAGAGAGCTCATGTAGCTAGGAGCTAGGGAAATAAAACACATTGGGACATTCGACTCGGAGGCACGCGAAGCATATCAGGGAGTCATCAGAGGCACGGGCGGACTTCTCACTACATGCCAAATGATGAGCGTCAGAGCTACGCATTTGGTCCACCCATCAGATATAGATAATACAATCAATCTCTCAAAAGCCTTAAGCGTACTGGCCTTGTCCCCGATCCATACGGCAGCACCGGTCGCACCACAGCGTTAGTAACGCTTCTCTTAACCGATACGCTAAGATTTCATTGTCTCCATTGGTGGTTAGAGACATGAAAAGCCATGAAAATGAGGTAATCTCTTCGAAAGGATGTCCCACAGCCATAAAGCTTTGTTCTGAGAATCTGAGGCGCCTTCAGGGCCGTTGCTCATTACTGCATGCGGAATATTTGTAGCGTCTGACAGCATAACCGCATCCACAACGATGACGTGTTCAGGCGAACACTAGGTGGGGATAGTGAAACTAATGCTTCAGAACTAATGTTATATCATCGGTAACCTATTCAATTGTCTTCACCGTCTTCAAACGCTATGCAAAGATAGCTTCTGGGTAGTGGAAGTCCTGACCTCAGGAAGTGTCCACTGTCCGCTGAAATGGTAGGGGCTTGCATGGGAGTAGAGGATAGGCCGCGATATACCCCAATTAGCTTGCAAGTTATGACAGCCTGCCTCCGTTCCCCATGGCTCAGTGGTATAAGCTGCTAACGGCCATGGTTTCGATCTGCCGCAGGAATCCGAGGTAATGCGTACCAATGACGAGCGCCAAAAAGAACGAAACGACTATCAAGCGCTTTACGGGATTGGAGTTGAACTTACGGCTTGTTAGCAGCTAAGAGGAGCTAGTAAAAGAACAAATGGTACCGAATAAGTTGTGTTATCTTGCGTGCGCCCACTTACCGCTTATCGAAGAGAGAATCGCTTTATAGTCGGGTTTTGGAGTACCCGTCACGTGTCTTGGATGGCGACACGCAATCTCAATTGCGGCTTCCCTTGTCTTTGAAGTCGGCCCGTGTCATTCCGATCACGAGGACCGTATCCGACCAAAATAGAGGGTTTCGGTGTTGCTCTCTCCCATCCCCGCACTCTAAGGCAAGTTGAAGCATTGTGTGAACTCGTCAGGTAGAGAAAGCTTGATCTGGGAGGGAACTCGGCACATAGTGGTTAGTGGTTATCGCCATAATCACCAGACCATTAAGGTTCGCGAGCAGTGCTTGACACGGCGATCAGTTGATTGTTGGGTTTTGCAGTACGCACCGTGTGTCTGGGATTGTGACATGCAATCTCAATTGTGGCCTCGGCTGACTTTGAAGTCAGCTTGTGCGACTCCGATCACGTGGACCATATCTGACCGAAGTAGAGGGTTTCGGTGCGGCTCTCTCCTATCCATGTCTAGTGCATTGGAAGCCGAAGGGCCCAAGGAACGGGGTGAGCAAAAGCTGACTCTCTAGCCTGCGGACCCTGGACAGTGGTCGCAGATTGGTGACCGTCAGCGTAAGAATTGCCTAACTGAAGCATTGTTAAGATGCTGATTAGGAAAAGTGGTACACAGTGTGCATCTCAAGGTAGTTGAAATGCGCGAAAAAGCAAATGCTAAGCTACGTTTTGCTTCATTATAAGGGGGACACAACTCACGTGAGCAGTACCGAAATTCGAATGGCCGCTGAAAGGAGGGACTAGCGCAAAGACGAACAGGTCGTCGAGTAGCGTAGGGAAACGTGGAAATTCGATAACTTTAATATTACGTATGATAATGAGACACGTAAAAATCGGGGGAGGCAAAATTACATGCCAGCTTGAAGAAAGACCAAGGAACCTGGTAGTATCAGGGTGCGTCGGCAAATATGGGAACTTATTCCGTCTGATACTGGAAACGAGCAGCAGGAGATCTGATGTTGGCAAAACAATCTGCGACGAGAGTGGACAACCTATGCACAAAGTGGCAAAACGCTTGCAACATTGGGCTCAGCACTTTGAAAACAATGTACTCGGTCTGAACCACCAGAATCGCTGTGCACCTTTGGACCCGCCCTCTTGCACAGAGGTCAAAATTGAGGCAAGACTGTTTAAAATGTACAAGGCCGTAAGACTAGATGGACTTCCTTCAGACATCTTCAAACTAGGGTAACCAGCTTGCGTGGACGGTATGCACGATTTGTCAGTGAGGCGGAAGGAGCAAGAAACAGTCGTAACTGACTGGAGCTACTTCCTTATAATCCCGATTTTCAAGGGTGGCTCACATTCATAATGCGGCAATCAAGTATCAATCTGGTTCTCATTGACAAATTACTTGCCCCCATCATTATTCAGACAGACGCACCCATGAAACCAGATTCTTGAATTGCAAGACGGGATGCGTCAAAATCAAGGATATATTGGCCATATCGTAACTTCACATGAAATGTTGGAGCACGGTAACTTGCACTGGCGGCTCACGGTAGTCGTATTCCACGACACAAAATGTGTCCTCGATTCGGTGAGTCGAAGTGCCCTTTGGAACTGTTCGATTATGAAAGGGGTGCCCGCTAAATACATAGGCATTCTCAGAACGCTTTGCGCCCGTAGCTTGGGTAGAGCGACGGCTTACGGCAAGCTGTCACCGTGCTTCAATATCTCAGGCAATGTGGGACAAGGATACACACTGTAGCTTTATCCTTCTCAATTTCGACATCGACGAAGCTACAGAAATTGCGTTCATCGAACACGACTTGAAAGACGTTAAGTTGCTCTCAAGTGACCGACTTCTTGATTTGGAGTATACCGATGACATTGACCTCATGCGTGATAACTCACAAACGTGCCGTGTGGCACTAGACAGACAAGCGCTGTAGTCCGTCTGTTATGGGCTTTGCTTTGCTTTGCACCCTTGTAATGCAGCGTTCACCCCATGTGCTGATCTTCGGTGGGAAGATGTTTGGAAATTCAAGTGTATATGCAGCTATATTAGCGCCTGGGGAATAAAGGGTGAGTTCACGAGCCGTATAGGAAAAGCTCGAGGCGCTTTTGTCAGTCTCTTGTGACGTCAGCGGGACATTACTCTCGCCCTAAAGGACAGACTTTACAATGCAACCATGCGTTCAACCTACGTTTGCGGCTGCGAAACCTGGCCGATCAGATCGACGGACATAAACATGTGCTTTACGTTCGATCATCGCTACTTTCACAGTGTAACTCGTATCTGGTGGGAACACCGTCTCAGCGATGAAGGTGTTCGGCTTCGTGTAATTGGCGCAGAAATAACGAGTGAACCACGCAAGACTATTATATCACGCACCAGACTTCCACATCGTGTTGCTTGTTTACGCGACCGGAGTATAGATGGAGAAAAACGAGGGGGGCCAAACGATGACTTGGTCAAAAGTTATGGAAAACCTCACTTAGGGGCCTGGCATCAGTCGGTCCCCCCTAACTGCGAGGCTGGAGTCCGGAGGACGATGAACAGATTTGGTTGGGTACACTTGTTAACATGGCAAAGAACCGACCTCAATGGCGTCCGTGTTGTGAGATGGATCCCACAGATTACGAGAAGTGACAAGTGTTTAAGACAATGTTTGAGGAAGGGTTGGTAGAATCGACTCAGTTAGTAGGGGTAATATGAAAACCAGACATCGGCTAGATCTACAACGCTGGGGTGTGAAATGGGACAAGAAGCACAAGACTGGAAGAGTAAACACATAGCGCTAACTGGCCAACAGACATACTTCGTTGTGAGCACGATCATCTTTCATCCCCTCGACTGCCGGATGTGTGAAGCTCTCCTCGGAAGAGGATGCAAAACGGTCGATAAAATAACGGAGCAACTCTTTCGATCGCTTTAGTACGCAGAAAGACGACACAGTTGGAAAATGTTGCTGAGACAACATAGGTCCAGTGCGCTGTGGTTGCTGATGCGTTCGAAGAAGGGGCAAGTGAACATACGCCCATTTCAAGGTGGTAAGCATCAATCGGAGCACAGAGACGCATACGGAGAATAGGAAAGTTAGAGGATGCTGGTGACGGCGTCTGGTGATCACCATGGAAGAAGCGTTCGCAGGAAGTGCAGCGCGTTGTGACCACGCCGTCCTGCTGAGCTTGACATCACAAGCTAGTCGTTTGGAAGAAGCCCCAGAGGACGAATGGGAGGAATCGGCCTCGCCAGGCGTATCAGTGGGGAGGTTCATTGACAAACGATCCATACGGTTACAGATTTTCACATGTGCAGTATGAATACGACGTGCATCCATTGAACCCATGAAGATGGTGACGAGCAAACTCATTGCGAAAAGGAGAAGGGAAGGGGTCCTAATGGGGAGGAACAGTGAGTTAGAAAGGAAAATAACACAGATCCTCGAAGTTTACGACACGTGCAGCACAAGAGGTGATGAAAATGGCCAACACCCTTCTCCTAACCTACATGGAGTCCCAGGGCTACAGTTACACAGGAAACTCGTTACAACCACAGCGTCATCCACTCGGTAGCCGTAGGAAAAAGCACAATCCAGTTCATAGTATGCAAAGAAAATCTATGGACTAGAATACTTACTCATGCGTGTCTTAAGCATGCGTGAGCATAACACCACATGCACAAAATGGTCTGTGTGCTAATTAGAGGAGCGACGTATCATGCAGTGGGAAAATATACATTGAGTGGAATCGAACGGTGCACACTACTCAACCATATTAACACAAACAAGTAGAAGGGAGGACGATAACCGACCGTCATGGATTTGAGTTTATTTTTAAAATATAGCCGGACCCATTCTTCACTGCATGGCTCAGCAGCATAAACTATTGACTAGTGGAGCAAGCAATTAGTAGTCACGAGTTCGGGTTCCGTGAAAGAACGACGGAATACGCACCAGCCCCAAGAGGTGAAATGGTAGTCTGGTACTCTTCAGGATTAGTAGTTGACTTATTTGACTTGTAATCTAACGGTGATGAAAAAAATAACTCCAAAAAACAATGGCACTAGATAGAGAAAACCCCCTTACCAAATGAGTTGCTCAATCCAAAATTGTGGTGAAATCTTCGAACAGTTCCGAAGCACGTCCGTGGGGAAATTGGCGCTAAATCGAAAAACCGAAAGTCGAGACACCCGGGCGGCATCACAGGTGGCGAAGTTGTCGCATATGCGTAGCAATGTCTCTTCGTGTGCGCCTTCTCGCATTTGCGGATACGGGAATGCAGTGAACCAAAGAGAGGCGGTAGAATGTGAACGTGCGAAATCGGGCTGATACTGCAGCTCCAGCGGGACCCTCTCACCAGGTTTCAAAATCATAAAGGATGAGCGGGAATCTGTTCGATCTTGGGATTTGTTTCCGGGCACATAAACCACGCATGGCAAGAGCCGAAAGCTTGAGTAAACGCACGTCAAAGCGTCTTGATCGGAATTGCTTGAGATTGCTACCGCAGGGTTAAAAGATGCGTCACTGTCCGGTCCCAAAGTCAAAAGTGTAACGAAGACAGGAACGTTGCCCGTATTGGAAAGAGTGAGCAAATGATGTACGGAGAAGTTGGATAAGGCATCGATCAGATTATTCGTGCCAGTCTCGTGGAACGAATGTGAGTTCATTCGATTTGAGTAATACGCAGGGATGTTTCGCAACTGAGCACCTGTGGTTAAGTGGATATATTTAATGTCACAAAGAATTTCGCCGAGACAGTACTTGTGAAGTGTAAAAGCAAACCGTTATTTTTAAAGAGGCTCATCACGGCCGAATTCAGACAGACAGAGACGTCAAGTTGCAGCCTTGTAAGAAGAAAGCCGTCGGATGTAAGACTGTGGGATTCGCGTGTGACCCTTTCCCTAGACAGTTCCCCAAAGCAGAACTGTCTACTTAATCAAATTCGGCCGGATGTTCAAGAATACCATGATTGTTGGTCGTCGGTGGATGTGACGCAGTTGGAGAAGTTGTCGGAACGCTGAGTACAGCCGTGCGATGCCCCAAACGCAAATAATTCAGGTGTCAGTAGTTAATTACGGTTGATGACTGAAACTCGCAAGCGCGTAGTGACCGCGTCTCTGTCCTATGCAGTGATGCAGAGAACATTGGGGAATGGAACATCCTACTGCTGATTCGCACGCGGAGATTACACTGTCTACAAAACGGCTGAGGCAATGAAAGGAGAAAAAGGTCTTCCAATCCGGCAACCTGATCGGTCGAAGTGATGCGGCTGCCACGGCGAACGAGGTCAATAGCACCGATGGAAAGTAACCTCTGTATTGGGAAACAGGAGTGATAACGAACTGCCTACTACAACACAGAGACAATCAGTTGGCCATCAATAGATCCCACATTGTCTACTGAACTGAGTGCTATCCTATACCAAGTCGCTTCAAGGTGCTTCTATCTTCGACTTAATTGTGTTGATTAAAGAGAAAACCTATCTATCGTAAATTTCCAAAGTGACTTTCCCCAATAGTGGTTCTAAAAGATTAGATTGCTTAGAAAAACAAGATTTTCTGGCCCCGGTCTACGTGAAGGACAAGTCTAACAATCCATATTAACTTCTTCGGTTAGTTGGAGTGATTAGAATATGCTATGTAAAGGCGTTTAATATTAAAAAATATGCATGGAAAGGTTCGAGAATTTGTGAATCCAGAATGATTTGAAAAAAAACATTGGACTGTTTGGGGGCAACCTTTCGCTTTCGAGTTGAAAGTTTTGTCAGAGCAAGTGAACCAGCGGGAGATTGGCGTAGCATTTATGGCAAATCGTGATGACAGATATGTAATTAGGATGGTTATCACATTACATGTTAAATCAGCTAGGTCGAAAGTGGTTCACGGTACAAAGTCGTCGCACGTAATTTCGCTGTTAGTAGTAACGGGAAGTGGCTTGATGCTTGCTGTCTCACCATGACCAACACATGATAGCTGTGAGAAACATACCTCGGCATACGTGACGCAATACAAAAAAGAAAAGAAAAAAATGGAATAAAAAAGCTAAAGGAGTAACATAATTTTAAATAGCATAGAACGCATTGAGTATGAGATCGTGGTTGCAGAGGGAAACTAAAAGGGAAGGCAAAGAAACACATAACACAAACACCGCTGAGGTCGGTTAGTCGACACATCAATAACTACATCCCAACAAAGGTGTACATCATCCTTCGGACCCAAGTCCGGCAGTAGGGAAACATCAACCGACGCCAACTTCGCAGTGAGGGCCTTCGTTCCACTTGACCAAGTCATCAAGGGGCCTCATCTTCTCTTCTTCCATTCAAACCCCAAGCGTGCAAAAACACGTATCGCGGAAGTCAAAGTGCTGGCATGCGCAACACGTGGCCCAGCCACGTGGATCCTGGTGCGTGGTATAACGATGCTGAACGGTTCATTCACACTGCACCAAGTAAGAGACCCCCAACATGCTGAGTGCCCACGCGATGCTCCCTCTCGACATGAGCTAAACTGCGAAGGCAACGATGGTGGGACGTAATAAACCTCTTTAGGTCTGTCGATCTGATGGGCTAGGTTTTGCAGCCTTACAGGAGGGTGGAGCAGACTACCAAATTATAAACTCTACCCTTCACGGCGACAGTGACGTCGCGCCGGCACCATAGGTGGCGGAGATTGGCAAAGGCACCTCGAGCTTTTTCTGCACGGCTCGTGATCCCATCCTCTATTCCACAAATGTTAATATAGCTGTCTAGATACTTGAGGTTCTGAAGAACTGTAATTGATCACAACCAAGAATCAATACAGGAGTGAGTCTCAGTTACTATTGGAGGAGCACTCTGCTCCGGATCAGTAAGCCGTTCCTCAGACAGATCGGATTAAGACAGTCTTTAACACATTTAGTAGCTGCACTTCACCCACAAACTTGGGTGATTTTCTCCACATCAGTAGTCAGTCTTTGGGCAGTCGATCACTCCTCACCTAATGATCTCAACTTTTTCCGAGCCAATTTCATGCTCTCCGTCTAGCGTGTGAATCCCTCCAGCCAGATATATTGGTAGAGCGCTGTATCAAAACTCGTTACTCGATGGTCATGACATGCTCCTCGTGCTTAGCAAAACCATGCTTTGACCTATGTACATATGTAGACAGTCTTCAAGCTATTTTTGTGAGAGTTAAGTCCTAACACATCATTTGACGCTTGTAGAAAGTCACCATTATTTGTGCATTGTTTAGCTACCTTCGGATGAACTCCGAAGTTCTCTCTTAACAAGGAATCTCTATTGGCTCAATACACTTCGTGGAACACTGTGGATTTAGAGGACTGTTACTGGAATTTCATCAATCGTCTAATGTATCTAGCATCGACTTGTCGGTGCATTGCCTTATCCCAAAGAGCCTTCCTATGCCCCTTGCTATGCACTGGGTCTAAATTCCGTGAGAGAGAGAGAGAGAGAGACGATCCCGACGTACATATGCTTTGCGTGACCAGAACTGTGGTGGAGTACGCCAACTGTGATGGTTTTGCCAGGAAACCGACCAACAATCCTTGAGTATGCAGAGCAGATTGCTCACATTGGATCTGACGCAGTAACTATGCAAGCATTACTGAACAGAATGACGAGCAACGCTGTAAGCTTCGGCATTTGCTATGCATCATCGAAATGCAAAGTAGTGTTGCAAGACTGAACCGACTCACCAACGGTTCTAACTATCCCCGAGGAGACACTGGAAGTGGTATATCGGTTCACTTACTTGGGCAGCTGCGTCACTTTGGGTGGTCACATCACTGAGGAAGTTAGTCGTGTATCAGCAAGGATCGTATGACTTTCCAGATGCCAAAACATCTAAGGAGATGATGGGATATCAGCCTGCTAGTGAAAGGTAAGGTCTATAACGCTGCGGTAAGGCCAGTCTTATTGTATGGAGCGAAGATCTGGGAGTTCGCGGTGAAGACCTTAAACGCTTGGCCATGTTTGACCACCAGTTCATGCGGAGTATTGCTCAAGTCTGATGGGAACACCGGGAGAGCAATGTTGACATCCGCCAGCAAGAGACCTTCTGGTGCCTTACTCGAGTGTTTGATGCATCTTAACCACATATGTCAGTTAGGCCATGTCCTTCGTATGCCTGCTGACCGGCTTCCTCGACATGCATTACACGTCGTGGATGCATGAAGTTAGGGAAAACTGCGAAGCGACCAGTCCATAACGTGGCATAGAGGCACGAAGAAAGTGTCTGTTTGGTTAGGATGATACATACCGTCTCTGTGGATAACCGCCTCTAGGACGGTCCAAACCAGTGGTTGGAGACCCTATCTGACATGGCGCAGTCGAGCAGTCAGTGGCGTTACTGCATCCGATTTCTTGCGTCTAGCTGTCTATTCTGTTCCGATTAAGGTTGCGCCTTTCTGCCCAGACTATTCCTTTTTTATTCCAAATGCATACAACCGCATATTCTTGCCGTTGTCATTTAATGTTTGTCTGGAAATATGAGTAGTAGCAACTGGATCCGCCGCACCGTGGTGTCTGAATAATGGTTATTTCACTGAACTGAATGTCAGCTGTGTCTATCGGACTAAAACCCATTCATGTGGACTAAGCAGCCAAAGAATGGCAACGTGCCACCGCAAGCTTTTATATTCATACAGAAGCAGACAGCTTCAGTTAAGGTGTAAATGGTTAAGAAATACAACTTTCTTAGTTTGTTGCTAAGCTCCCTCCTTTCAGAATTTTCCATGTAGAAATTTGCTAGTGCGGTGGGGATTTATAAGTTAATGGCAAGATACTGTTCACTGGCGTATCGTCTCGATTGAAAATAAAAATAAGACATTATACAATGTAATGTAAGCTCCATCCTCTTTCCCAAGGTATTGTCTCTAGTCACACAGCCATTCACTATCTCATATGCGTTGCATGTCAGTACATAGGTGAAGAAGGATCTGACGTCGAAACTGACCAACATTTTATCCAACTCAATGGCTAGACCTGCCACGTGTCGCGCGAGCTCATAAAAGCTCGTTACGAACGAATTCCTTCGCCCCGGCAATGATTGCAATAGGTTAGCTAGATAACTAGTGAATCGAGGAATATATACCGTACATAGAACTGACCCAATGAGTAAAACAGAATTATGCAACCGACAAAACAAAAGTCCTTGGTAAAAGCGTTGACTGGGGCATTTGTTTTGCCATTTACACGGCTCTAGATCGTCTGTCACAATTCATAAGTAATTACTAACATGCACTATCAATTGTGTTGTAAGAAACCGAGGAGTAAACGGAATTATTCACTTCATCAATCATAGCTAATACTAAGTGCATTCTTTCCGACAAACGAGATATCCACTTATCTTCTTCAGCCTAGTTGGAGTTGCATAGCGCGAGCTTCTTTCTGTGTCTAGGAATAAGGTGATGTACATTACTTGTGCGTCAATTTCTCGTGCGCATACCACTGTGGTACTAAAATGTTTTCCTCTATTGAGGGAGTCATTAGGGCTTGCTGTTGTCTGGCTACGGTTTTTTGTGCTGGCCTTACCACACTACTGTAGTGTCTGCCTTTAGCCCACAGCAGTATGGCAGTTACAATTTCAATCACCTTACATGGTCCGGTTACTACGTGCCCCTCTAGCTCTGAACAATCGAACTTGTACAGTATATCACCTCGCTCTCATCTTAATCAGCATTCGTGAGGATAACAATACAGGGATAATCCTTTAAGGCCATTAACCTGACACGTTCCATTGGTGTATGGTTTGGACCCCTAGGTTGCTGAAAACTACAAAAGCTTAACGAGTTATGTACCAATATTCGCAACCCTTGAGAAGTGTAGTTTAGCTATCGCGGTCATCATCAGCAGCAGTACAATCAACCATTTGAACTGATGCTTCGCTGCCGTATAACCACAATGACGTACGAAACGATGAATACTGAGAGAGAAGGGGGACCTAGCATAAAATCTTAATACTCTAGAAAAACATTCAGGGTTAAGGGGCTTACACCGTGTGTCAACCAGATGCCGGCACAAATACCTGGCTATCGTGCTAAGATAACGCTGCATGAGCGAGACAGCCCCCTTGCGGATTTCACTGCCACGCGTCATAGTCAGCCAATAGCCCGCAGACAAGTCAGCAAAAAACACACTTTAAACAGACAGTCGGACTAGGAAACGACTGCAGACGTACCACTGGTACCGACTGCGTGCCATGTTCTGTAACGTCTTGAGTCAAATAGAAAGCGAGTCACGTGGAGGGCGAGATGGACCGACGGCACCGAGTTTGACCGTCAGTGCCAAGCTAACTTTTGCCTTGAGCCGCACTACATGCGGCAAACAAAACAAGGCTCTCCTCAGTAACCGGTCTACATGGTACCACATATTGCTGTAACCAAACAGCCAAGCACAGCGAATGAACGAACAACTGGTTCATAAAGTCAAGCTATCAGAATTCTGGAACATTTAAAACACCCACATTAGTCGTCAATGACTTTATTTTCCGATGCTTAGTTCCTGAGGACTAAATACTAGGGAGAACTGTAACATCTTTCTTTTCCTGTATTGAACAAAAATGAGCCCTAGCGAAAAGTTACACCTGTGACTTCATCGCAGTCCGTCTTAATGCGGTAACTAATGAAACGTCTGCAGTAGACTGACACATTTTCCCAGATTCAGAATGGTTCGCTTACAAGGACGACCTATGACACCAAATTTTGCTGATTTCAAAGCATGCTTCTGGTTGTACTCAGTCGCGAAATCCAGTGGGCATGTAAAATGGGACGCTAGTATCGTTTTTGTCCCTTTATACACGTCGATTCCAATCACTATTAAAAATTATGTCGCTTTTCCCGTAACTACCCCACTCTCTAATGTTTAGTATTTTCTCTCTGTCGTAACTACTGCTTGATAAATACCCAAAGATTGGGGGGGGCTATTCTTTTTGCCCTGGAGATGTGTCAGAGCGAAGGGGGTCTGTTCTTAAATAAGAACAGATTCTAGGAAATGCGATCGGTGGACTAAAACCATGTAACATGCAAAGCTGGCTTCGCTGGCATCAGCAATATATCGGTACGCAGTACTGACGCTTCGCTGTCGCGCAAACACCACCAGTCGCACGTGCGCTAAGGATACTGTGACAGTCCCCTCAGATTATAAAAGCAGACTTGTGATCCTTAAGGCTTCGGTCCGTCTAGGCTTCCCTGATTTCACCGTGGCCACCTCACCGACGTTCCACCCATAAATAAGCTCAAAACCATGCTCAACAAGATCCAGTCACTACGCCTCATCAGCTATGTTTTTGATTAGAGATGCTTAGGGTGCTTTCATTCAAAATTCATGAAACACAAGTGATTTACCCAATGAAGAGTTTTTGCTTTTCCTCTGCTTTGCATGAACAGCTTGAGACAGTTTATAAAGATGGCATAAGCGAGATCGCTCTTCGAAATTCGAAGCGCTCTGCAGTATCACCATCAGTGTTACCGCATAGATAAGCATCAGCATTGGATAAGCGGTCTGGTTGGAAGACACGATAGCAAAAACACCTCATTGATGCGCGGATCAGGAGCCAAGTACTGTAAGACCACCGGCGAAACACAGATAGGTTCTCATGTGAGTTTAACAGATGCGGCCTTCGTTAAAAAAAACAGACAATAGGCGACCTGTGTAGAAGAACTAAATCTGTCAAGAAACAACGGACTGTAAAAATAATGACCGTCACGTTGGATAAATCTCGTAGATTTACAGGAGTGAAATTAGAATGAAACTCACAAAAGGAATTAACAAGCCGATCCGTGAATTCGAAGTGCAGAGTTCTTAAAAATGGAGGTACCAGTTGAGCTGTAATGTGTGGGACAGATTCCACAACTAGGTCTGAGTGAGGTTTGAATGTCCCAAACCAGCGAACTTCAGACGATAAAACAGTCATCATTGAAGAATTAATGTCTTCAGGCAGCGCATGATTAGATGGAAATGCAGACTGCTCATTGGATGATCCGTGTGCTGACCTTAAGATACGAAAAAGTAGATCAGCCTTAAAGGAGTGAGCTTTGGATTCGGTCAGGTCCTCAGGGATCGACGAAGTATTGGGCTCAGATGGTAGGGTGTGTGCGTCGTGGGAAAAGACAGGGACCAAAGATGTTCTGATAGACACAGCTTGAGATTGTGGAGAAGGAGACTCGCGGGACGTATTCATGAACGGAGTCCCAATGAGACGGTATTCACGGGGTACGAAGGTCTGAACATCAGTTCCAGTAAACCCCCGCAATTGAGAAGATGGTGTCCTACCGAACCGTCGCAGTGTCTGAAACATGAGTGGAAAAATCAGTTAGATGATGAACAAAATTCGAAAGCACAACTAGCTTGTGGATCAAATGTCACATGGAGAGCAGTTTTCTAGGAGCATTAAAAAAGGAACAAACACCAAGGTTACAAACAACGAATTTGCTAAATGGCCCACTGGTAGCCGAAAAACGATAGCAGTCATTATAATTGCATTACTACCAGATTTTTTTGGTAAGATATGAACGTGGCGATACTGGCGACAGATGAAATCTGTAAGCAAAAGCTTCAGAGTGAAGTGGAGCTAATAACTAAGAAAAAAGGAAAAATTAGACAAGGGCATAAAATGGTGAAAATGAAGAATTAGCTGTGTGAAAAAAACCGAAATGTGAGAGAGATCCACATTCGATTTCAAGATGAAGGCGGATAGAAGCAGCATGCATTTAGGGAACTTATTATGTTGCGACTCAAGCAGGACACTGGTGGGGAAACAGACCACATAAGCCTTCCGCAACGAGACTGGACCATGACGTGGTGTGACGATTTGCGTACCTCTTCCACTTATCGGGCTATACAGGGTGGGGTCCACGGCGCCTTATTAGCTATGCCCGCCAAGTTGGTCAATGGTTAGAGGTCAGAAAAACTCAATCACATGGTTGGGGGCTGCAAAGGAGATGACCTCCATTTCTGTGAAAATGAATCACTACCACCATCCCGTTGCCTTGCGAACAGGCTTTTAAGCCATAGGCTCTGCTTGAGGACCCTAATCGTTCTCCTGTCCAGGTTTCGACACCATCGCAGTATCTCAGCACACGCACAGCCATGAGTACTCCCTCAAACTCCAGCTATAAACTGCATCAACCGTCGCGCAGCTTACCAAGTATCGTCTTATCTGCTGCAAACAAAAGGGTGGGTAAGCGAAAACATGGCACTGCAGGCGCCTTTCCTCGTTCCTTACCACCTGTTTCTCTTAATACCCACCTAATCACCAGTACTAATCTACCCTCCCAGTTTATTTGACGGCAGCAGCAATGCAATTTGAGTCGCACCACCCACAATGGTGCCAACAGCCGCTTATAAAGCCACACTGTCCCATTTCCCTGGCGACATTCAACGTTCGCACTCAAAGGCAAATAGGTCAACAGGCTGCACTCGCACGCACGTTGGACACACTGGGTATTGACGTGTTTGCGTGTTTGAAAGTAGGATCAATGACCCTCACTGGATTGTTGAACTAACTGAGCCAGACTTTTCTTCTCGCTGTAAATTGCACGCATCAAAAGACGATGGTGCAGCAACCACTGGTCATGCTGGGGTAGGCCTTGTTCTCAGCTCCAAGGCTGTCATCGTTGGTTGATTGGAATCCTGTGTATGGCTGTTTGTGTGCAGCCCGTTTGACGACACCAACTAAGGCTGATTGACGAAGCAGTACTATAGACTAATTGTTGATGGTTTCCGCTTATACCCCCACAGATTACGGTTCTGATGCTATCAAGGATGCCTTCTACCACGAACCGGACACGCTACTATGCAGTGCTACCAGTTCAGATGGCAGATATGAACATGCAAGTAGGTCACCTGAGCTCTTCAAAGATCAGCTAGGTAGTAAGTATAGACTAAAGTCCGAACGGACGGACAACGGCGAGCGGCTGTTACAGCTTTGTGCGGAGCACCGGATTTAGGTACAGTGGTCGTCGAAGTGCCACTTGGTGTGCATTTACACCTGACCAGCGACGAACCCAAACAATTACGTTGCCATGAGTTACATGTGGCTTGGTTCCATGCTGAACTGATGGTCGTTCTGGAATATATGAGTCGATCCTGATCATAGCTTGGTACGCCGTCTTTTTGCCAGGAAATTTACCGGGAAGCGTAGCAAGCGTCGCCTCCGATCGGCAACGTAGGAATGGTCTCAGCCTTTGGTCAGACAAGCCTTTCAAGACGCATTGCGTACCGAAATTCCGCTGTCTTGTCCGAATGACACAGAGAAACAATGGAATAGGATTTCGAACGCCTAGCATGATGCGGGATACTCGGCTTGCGGTACTATCAATCGTCAACACACCATTCGCTGGATACCCGAGAGGTTGGTGAACCTGTTGGGATCCAGAAGAAATTTCCAGATTGGCTCTGAGCACAATGTCGTCAACAAATCAAATCATCGGCTATTTGAACTGATGCTTCGCCGCCATAGAAACATGATGACCTATGGAATGAAGAGTAATAATCTAATTCAGCACTCGTGATTATTATAATACAGGGGTAATCCTTTAAGGCCATTAATGTGATACGTTCCACTAGTGTATGATTTGGACCACTAGGTTGCTGAAAGCTGAAATGATTTACTAAGTGTGCACGAAAATTCTCAACCCTTGAGAAGTGTAGTTTAGTTACCGCGGTCATCAGCAGCAGTACAATAAGCCATTTGAACTGATGCTTCGCTGCCGTATAACTACGATGACGTACGAAACGAAGAATAATAAGAGGGAGAGAAGTGGGACTTACCGGAAAACCTTAATGTTCTAAGAAAACATTCAGGGGCAAGGCGTCTATGCCTTGTGTCAACAACACATCGTCATAAACAGCTGGATAAAACGGCATCGGCGAGCCATCTCCCTTGCGAATTTCCCTGCCACGCGTCATAGTCAGCTATTATCCCGCAGACAACTCAGAACAAATGAGACATTAAACAGGCAGGCTGAGTAGGAGACGGCAGCAGATGCGACACTGGTGTCGGTTGCGAGCCATGTCCTGTAATGTCTGGAGCCAAGCACAAAGCGGGTCACGTGGACTCCAGCCCGGAATGCGAGACGGACCAACGGCACCAGTTTGATTATCAGTGAGTTCATTTCACGTTGTTAAGTCAACTTCTGTCCACTTCGAGCTTTGCGCCACCCTAGTGGGACTGCTTGTTTTAAGTGTGCTTAGTGATAATTCATCTACGAGTTAATGCTTGATTATGGCACAGGGCAGTGAAGGCTGCAAAGAAGCGGTTTCGCTGATGATACCTTAACTATGTGCGTAGCCAGCTACTTGTGACGTTGTGTTGTTTAGGTTCTTTATCATGAAGCTTTGTCTAGAGCAGGGGTGTCCAAACCATTTGCAAGGAAAACCACATTTTGTGGGGCAAAATTATGTCGGACCATATTCAATCTGAGATTAGGATCATAACGAAAATTGCACATGTACGAAAAACGTTCAAGCCTGAGTTTACTATTTCATGATGAGGCCGCGGGCCAGTTGATATGTTAATGCGGGCCGCATTTAGCCCGCGGACCGGACTTTGGACATTACTGATCTAGAGCGTTAGGGATTTAAAGCTAGGCCCCTTCTTTCCCTGTTATTATTCTTCGTTCCATGAGCCAGCATAATTGTACGGTAGGGAAACATTAGTCCAAATGGCTGATGTACTGCTGATGATGTGGTCACACAAGTGGCCGTAACTACGAGGGCATTCTTGAGTTGCTGTGAGAGTTGGTCAACGTTGGAATGGACAATTTTAAAAAGAAAGTCAAAATGGGAAAGAGAAGCGGGACAGAGTACGAAAAAAGATAATGATCTGGGGCGAACGAAAGCGACTGGCTGCATCAAGCGATTACAGGGCCGTGTCGACCGATATAGTCTATGTAGAGTAGCATCGACAAATTGCAAAGCAGATGGAATTGACGGAGACGATAAAGAATTCGGAAGAGGTCATGGTGTTTCCAAAGGCTCCGTTGGAAGCAATGAATTCTATCATACTTTCAGCGTTATTTTGGAAGAACTAGAGAAGATGATTAGTACCATAGGTTAACACTGTTGTTAGAAGAAACACGGTTATTAGAATCGTGTATATGAGCGGTCCTTAAATGTCCTCGTGTTTTGAAATATATCCATCAAGCTATTTATTCATAATAACGGATAGGGTTATCAACCATTCGTAAGACTAAGTACATTAATCCTAGATAAATGGCTCCCACTATATAGTCAGGTGTTGCGATCCATCGGTATTCTTCGTCGTTGAATCCGAGCAGGGAAATATTTTTGGGCCAGTGAGTACCAAAAGGGAGCAAGCTTAGTGACTACAAGACGGTCGCCAAACGATAGGCTGAGCACCGCGTGATCTTTATGTGTGCCAGCTTATGTGATGAAGAACACGCCGCGAGTTGCTGGAATTTCTAGAAAGCGTATACAAGGCAGAAACTTTCTCATGCAGTCGCATCTACAGGGAATTAAGTGGCAGAGAAAACACACGTCATATCTAAAGTAAAGGCGGAAGCATTGCCTGCGAAAATAATGGTTTCGGAATGAGAACAATAAGCGATTCGATTTACAGATGGGTCTCAATGAACGATCGGATGTGCACGGTTCGTCTTTGTAGCATCATTAAAGTGAACAAGAAGAGGAATGGGGGCGATGTATCGTTTGATGGGACAGGCATGCGAATTAACCTAAGACAGCCTTCCCTACTAAGACAAGGGCAAAAGACAGATAATTTGGATTGTCTGGTAAAGAAAACCCGTTAAACACATCGCTTGCAGGGCGGCGCATGAGCTTACATCAGTGGTGACTGCTTCCGTCAGCACTGCGCCAATTGTAATCTCCGAGTCGGCGACACGCCTTCTGAGAAAAATATCGGTATCCGGCTGCTTGCTGTGCCACGCAGTCATGGATTTCGTCAGTCACATGTGTGTCCGGTACAGGTGGTGCACATATGGCCACCTCGACCATGAGTTAATGCATTCCAACTGCGACTGAACCACTTGAGGTGAGGTTGGCTCACGTTCCTATTATCGCGATAATCATCTCCTCTCGCTACAAAATGCCGCTCCAAATGAATATTGAATCACATGACTTGATGAAGCCTTCGTGTCAAAACTGAAAAGTTCCCAAACCTCTTTGAACTATTCGATTGGCCCCAAGTATATTCCGTGGTTTTGGTCCCAAAAAGACTTGTGAGCCAGATGACAGTTGAGAACAAATAAATAGGCGTTATTCTCTACTAAGTGAGACGGATTCATTTCAAAGATTTGAAGAACCACTTAGCGACACAGTAGCATCAGAAATACAAGTTACGACACCGGAGTTCATATAGGAAGCTGAAGTGATAGTCTTCGTCGTCGATAATATACGTCAATTGCTGAAGCTGGTGAAAAGTAAATTTAGCAGCAAACCAGGTCCACACGCTACTCTAGAGTCGCTCGATACTGATGTCTATTGCGTTTCCGAAACCCTAGTGCAGAACCCAAGCATTGTGATTACGCTATTCCCCAATAATCACGGAACCACAGTAGAGAAGAGGCATCAGCAGTACGTCGAATCGACGTTTCGCTGCCACGCAACCAACGCTAGCTACGTGTGAGTTAAGGATGCTGCGAGGATCGCCAGGTCCCTTACGCGGACTCGAACCCGTGACCTCCGGGTTTGTAACCCAGGGCAGACGCCCTGTCTTTTCGGTTACGGATCGGCAGATCACTTGCGTCTCTCTGGTGAACCGGAAGCGCGCTCAGCGGGATTGGCGGGCGTAGGCATAGAATTAAATGTTAAGGCCACTGCCGCACTCCCAGTCTGGATCAACTAGGCCACAGCTATATGGACTTCCAAAAATGCACAAGAGCGGAGTGCCGCTCAGGCTCATCCTCTCGATGACGAACGCACCCCAACATAAATTAGCTCGCTGGTTGGTTAATGTGCTTTCTCCGCTAAAAGCTCAGTTTAATCGATATAGCCTCAAAGATTCCTTCGAGCTTGTCGAGGATCTCGATCAAATGAACTTGTCCGATAAGGTGATGTGTTCCTTAGACGTGGAATCTGTATTTACTAATGTGCCGCTACACCAGACCGTTGACTACATCTGCGAATTATCAGAAAGTTCCGAATGTCGGTTGCTGATTCCAGTTGAATTCTTAAGAGAGTCATTACTTCTATGCACGGAGAATGTCGATTTCCACTTCCGAAATATACCGTATCGCCAAATTGATGGGGTAGCCATGGGAAGCCCACTGGGTCCCATACTAGCGGATTTCTTCATGCTCATGATAGAACGAAGCCTATGCGAAGAAATAGCGCAGTTGCCCTATTACAAACGTTAAGTGGACGATATCTTGGTATTCAGTTAGATAGAAATGCAGATCGCAGAGCTAGTGGTGCGTTTTAACTCATCGCATGTCAATTTGAGGGTTTCCTGCGAAGTCGAACAACAGAACTGTCTTCCATATTTGGATGTTCTTATCAGCCGCAAGGATAACGGAATGGTAAAAAGGTCTGTCTATCGAAAAGCAACGTGGTCGGGACAGTATCTGCATTTTAGCAGCTTTACGGCAATGCGGCATAAGCGAACGCTCGTGAAGACCCTGTTTAGTCGCGCCAGACGAATATGTTCGAACGATTGTCTAGACGATGAAATAGAACTAATTACCAACACGTTAATTGCTAATGGCTACCCTCGAAACTTTATCCGAAAGCACAGCGAAATCCGTGAAAAGAAAGTTGCTCAACCTACTGTGCCTAAGAAAAAGGTATTCTTAGAGCTGCCCTTTAAGGGTGACATTGCTTCTTTGAGGACCAGAAGACGTCTGATTTCCGCCACACAGAGCACTTTCTGTGCTGCCGAAGTTGTAATCCTTGACCGAACCCATAAGCTACCGTTGCCTCCACTGAAGGAAACTCAGCCTATTGGCGCCAACTCCCAGTGTATATCAATTCGTATGTAACTGCGGGGAAAGTTACATAGGCAGAACCAATAGAACACTGAGGTCCCGAATAAAGGAGCACGTACCAAAATGGGTTCAATGCGGGCTTAGTCAGCAAGCAAGCCCAAATCAGACTACGTGTGTACGCAGGCCGCCAGCATCTTCCATCGGCAGGTACTTATTGACAACAGGTCATCGAATTGAGGTCAACAAGGCATTCACAATCCTGTTTCGCCATACTAATTCCCGGCTCCTCCGGTTTGCCGAGGCGATTGCCATTAGTCGGATTAAACCAGTGTTTTGTGTTCAAAAACAATTATCGATCAGCCTCAGGCTGCCATGGTTGTAGACGAAAGACCTTTTTCTCGAGTTTGTTTATATGGATGTCTATACCTACAAACTGTTGTATAAAATTACCGGTTATCGTTATCGGCACTGATGAGACGTTACGAAATGCATGCATCTGCCGAACTTCGTCTTCTACTTGTGCTTTTCAAGTTACTAAAGGGAACTAACTGTTTTAAATATGGATTAACAGCCGACTGAGCAGTTCAGCTTTGGGATTCATGTAGAAACTACAGAAGTTGCAAGAAGAGACTCAATTTTCTGGTGATCTCTGTGCACGCTCGAAATGAATGCATTAATGGTCCGGTCAAGGAAGAGCTTAGTCCATGTTTAGGTAACGCTAACAAGTCGGATGTCCCTATCCTAATTGAGAATTTCAATGCAAGGGTTGGCTGATCGCTACAATGCGAATGTCATCTTGGTGGTCGCCACGCGTTGGATTAGGACCGCTCGGATAACGGAGAGAAACTTATCGCATTGAACGAAGACAACCATCCGTTTCTGTCGAACACCAACTTCAGGCATACGAAGAAAGGTTCCGCAACCCGGCGTCCCCTTTGCCACCATAAAGGTGATCTGAAATCGATCCTAATGCAATCGACTTCAGATGGCGGGGCAGCGTACAGGGGTTACCGTTCATTTCGGTTCACCTTCAGTGACTTAGATCAAGCGCTGGTCTGTGCGGAAATTTTATTATGTTTCTGAGGATCCCCGAAACGAAGCACTGCAAGATTAATGCAAACAGGTTAATTGATTGCGTGGTCTATATGGACTATCTTCACTGGAAGACGCACTCAGTTACAATCCACCACAAGATATTGAGCAACACTGAACAGAAGGCAACGATCACTTCCGAGCAGTCAAACTGTGTCTTAGCTCGAATTTCTGTTTGTGACGAGGCTTTGCCAACCGACAGTTCAAGCAAAACCTGCGCAAGGAACGCGAGGTTTGGCGGTTTGAGCGTGCTTGGGAGGCAGAGACCGCCGTCTTTTCTGGCGATAATCGCAAACCTATCCGATTCACTCGGTCCACTGATCATCACATGGGTGGAGGGAATGTGTAATGCTGATGGAGATATCATAAACAGATAAGTGAACCTACTTGCCAAGGATCTCAGTTAAACAATTTGTTAATCAATCGAATACTCAGTTAGATAATAAATAACCCAGCTTATTAAGTAAGCACTTTCTGTGAGAAACGTGAGAAAAATACTGAACCAGGTAAGGGGAGAGGGGAAGACTAACCAGTTGATAAGCGTTCCCGTCAAGCTGATTGAAGGGTGATTGGCCCCACAGTGCACGGAGGTAGCATCGGGAAAATCGAATGTTGTTGGGGAGGAGTCTACGGAAAACTTTAAGTGAAAATAGACATCATTAAACAAGGTAGGAACGTCAAAAACTAGCATAAAACTGCAAGGTACAGAGAAGAGGCGTGAAAGTAAGATTTACTATACGGTAAGCATGACATGAAAAAAACGCCTAAGCATCATTGCACAGTTCTGTAAATAACGAAAGCACGCAATGGAAAATGATAGGAATGGGATTCTGAGTGAACGACGGTTGTCATATCAGTTAGCTGAACGAGTCCGAAGCCGATATCGGTGTACAAGAGAAACTATAGCGACGCTACGATGCTTAACAAGGTGAGAGTTCGGCTAATTCAAACCGACGACATTCAAAGTACAGTGGGTCCAGATGTTACAGCCAGTGACGTAACAACTACTCTTGCCGCCCGGGGCGGACGTAAAATGGCCACCGTTCTGGCGGTTGTAAATCCGTAAAGCCTCACAACTACGGACAACGCTTAAATACTTCGTTTCAAATAAGAACAAGCAAATATCTAATTTTAGAATGCTGCCGTAAATTCAGGCATTTTTATTCTTACAGTACTCGTGAACAAGCTTTAGAGACACTTTTCGCCCGTTATTTGAGGCGATAGTATTGATAACACTGTCCATCATCAAGTTCGCTCTCTATGTCGAGAACTACCAATTCGTGCGTTTTGCATGGCTTAATGATGATTGGAGGTAGTTCGTTATAAGTGCGTTTTGAGAATGCGCCCTCACATTTGGGGTAAGAAATATGTGCAGCAGATTCCCCAAGGCGATATTTTTATATGACGCTCAAAAGCACAGAAAGTCCAGTAATGTTTTCGTTTCCTGAAATTTTCACCAAATACTGCAAGCTTTTCCTTTCGGCAAAGAATTCCTCTTTTTCTATATTTTCGTGGAATTCACTAAGCGGACAACCACAGTTGTCATCAAGCAGATTTGACGGTGTAAAAAAACATATTTGTTCGCAGGGTCATGAATTTGCTGAAATCCATGGCATTTCATCAAATTGTCTGTGAGAGACAGCATTTCTGGTTTCAACTCCGTAACAAATGCATCGATAGATAAAATAATTCTTCACCGTAGATTCGTTTTTTAGGCAGAATCGACGCTTCATCCTTACCTACAATTTATCGTAGTGATTTCGTATTCATCCGTTGTAATGTGCACCATTTCTCTCTATTCTGAAGAAGGCAAACTCTTAACGCGGTAAGCTTGATAGAACTTTGCCGCAAATCCAGCCGTTTTGTTTAGACATATCTATGCATCTTTGTCTTCTATGGGAACAGATCTTCAAAACCTCAGGAACGAAATAAACGGTAACAAGAATACTGAGCTGAGAATTAAAGATGCAGCTGATCTTGTGGTTGCATTTTCTCTTTATGCTGTGAAATGTTTCAGAGAAGTGACGAGTTCCGAGTAGTTCTCCAACACAATATTTACAACACCTACTCGACTATAGCTAGATTTTAGTCACATGATATTTATACCGGTGACTTGGATCAAGACATTCAAGTAATACATAGATAAAAAAGGAATGATAATAGCCGGTTCATCGCACCAAATATGTAACAGAATGAACCGTCGCAGAAGCTGCTTAAACACAGAGATGTTTGGGCATGACACACATGAAGACATTGAGCTGATTTCACAGATACATCTCTGGACACCCATTCGTTAGCGCGTCATAAGAGCACTATGGTCAAAGGTTTGGCCACGACAGCCGTCAATCTAAATTCCACCATTCATTGATTCTCTCAAAACCAGTCCAGAAATTTCCTCTGCCCTTTTACTGTTGGTCTAAACGACGCTGAGAAAAGACACTTCATTTTCACTCATCTAATTTTTGTGAGATACATCGGGAGTGCTGCCGAAAAAAGCAGACATACTTGCATTCCTTGAACTGATCCATGATTTTCTTTTGCATCTGCCTTACCAAATTGCTCGCTAATTCACTTTGAACGTGTGACGACAAAGAAAAAGTGCTGGTTTCCCTTCCCGACTGGACAGCCAACAAATGCTTGCGAAGTACAGGTCCATAAATGGCCAACAAATGCATATATTCCGAGAAACTCCCTCTATTTTGCTAGCCTCATTTTTCATCCTGGATGTTTTCTCGGTGACCACACCGTAGCATGCTTTGTCTGGTGAGCAACGTGACGATATCAAGTACTCGAGCCAAAATTTCACGCCACCAGTTTTCTACAACTACAGGGTGTTTTATTGATCATGTCCGAAGCTAGGAGCGGCTGCACTCAAGTGCTGATGTATCCAAGCACGCTGAATTGCTAACTGTCCAACGGCGCAAATTGCTTTGTCGGCAGTGGGTGAGCTGGGGCACATAGGTGCGACATGCGTGTCTACGATCACAGAGCACACCGAGCAGTTCGGCTGTGAGAAGTGAACGTTAGCAAACACCACAGCCGCAATCGACCTGTCATGGCTCGACCGCAGGGCAAGACCAACAGAACGCAGGATGAACTGAAAGGGTAAATTGTGAACGAATATATGCAGATTTCGTTAGAAACATTGCAGAAAGTGATCGCGAACATCATCCGGCGAATGCTCCTCCGTAGCCAAAACGACGGAGGGCACTTTGAACATCTAATTCGTTGATATTTACAGTGATTCTACACATTTCATGTAAATGTAAATATAGAAATGAACAAATGTATATTCTCCATAGTGCAGGAGAAACACCATCGAAGGCCTGATCAATTTGTGCGATCAGCAAATTCTGATTGTGAGGGCAATAGTTGCATTCAGGACTGAAATCCAAGAGCATTGTCACGTCAAGTGAAGTCAAGAATTCGTTATTAATGAATTTTCAGCTGTAACACACACCCGATGGAAATGGTAAAGCGAACAACACTGTAACCTTACAATGTGCTCCCGGCAGTATGATTGCCTTTAGCAGCGAAAGCAGCCTAGTAAAAGCTTACGGGTTTGTTGGAAGCAAGTCAAGAGGCGATAACAGCGTTTTTGGCAAAGCAATATGGCGCCCATTGCCCAGTCATAACATACGGCTAGACTGTTTTTCTCAATGGCTAGCTCAGCGAGCCAGTAACCACTTCGCAGGGAACCCTTTTGCTGGCTTCCTCACCTGCGACTACCAATCGATCGAAGCATGACACGTTCAGTGCGGCTGTAGTATCTGGCTAACGTCCAGTTCACACAGCTGAATGGTCTGCGTTCTGTTGGTCTTGGTCTGCGGTCGAGGCATGACACATTACATTGCGGCTGTGGTGGCTGGCTAACATACAGTTCACACAGCCGAACGGCGTGCGTTCCGTTGGTTGCCCGCTGCGACGACGCATGACACATTCATTGCGGCTGCGGTGTTTGCTAACGTTCACTTCTCACAGCCGAACGGCTCGGTGTGCCCTGCGATCGTACACACGCATGTCGCACCTATGTGCCCCAGCTCACCCACTGCCGACAAAGCGATTTGCGCCGTTGGACAGTTAGCAATTCAGCGTGCCTGGGTACGCCAGTGCCTGAGTGCAGCCTCTCCTAGCTTCGGACATGATTAATAAAACACCCTGTATTTGCTCCAATTTTCAAGTGATCTGCCTTCAACTAACCAGATTGCTTGCGGTTGAGAAATGAATGGGCACGCAATTCACTAGATTCATATTCACATACCTTTGGATTTAGTCTCCACCAGACGAAAAGCTAGACAATCCCGCTGAAGACATCCTACAGTTGAAAAAACAGTGCCTCTTTTGAAGAATACACCATCGGTGTATACAATCTTTGTTTATCTTTTCGCAAGTGCCAAAAAAAGAGTTCGTTGTTATCTTCTCAGCCCCAGCTTTGCATTCGTTCCAGGTAGCACCACATATTAAATTCATAATCGATATGTTGCAAGACCGAGCCGGACAAGTATAGCAGGAAATTCATGAATAATCTTAACAACCCATTGGCAGATTTCCATATAATCTGTTGATGTACGTCTTATCGCACACAAGTGTGGTAGCATTTCCAAGTTTTCAACGCGCACTTCTTCTGCACCAGCATTACAAGAAATATTCCCGCTGTCCCCATGTTGTCAATATCGCATGCTGTTGCCCAGATACCAACCATTGTAAGACCAAGATGATTAGTAGTCATCGTTTTTACCAATTCAGGCATGGAAATAATTTTGATGAATTTATACGCAGTATGAAACTACCATCCGTACTCGAAATCCGCCCCCTGTCATATGCTGCCCGAGGCGGACCGCCCCCCCCCCACCTCCAATGATGCTCACGGCATCATGAGAGCAAACATTGATAAGCGAATGAAGAATGAAGCTGGAGACGCGAACACACACACGCATACATGCAAACAGAAACAGACACAGAAAAGAACGCAGTAGTGTCAATAACCTGGGATCACACCAGCGCAGCGCAATACAACCTTGTCCACTAGTCTGTCGGGGAACGGAAAAACCGGATAAGAGGTGAACCCGGCGGGTTTTCATTTTAGACGGATAGGTGTGTGTGTACACTCTGGATGGGTAAAACAATGCGTAACAACACCTGACTAGTATCAGTTGTATCGTAGAGGCTGAGAAAAACATGGTGAGACAGGAGTAAGGTGCAACAGAGACTCACTCTCAGTGATCGGTGAAAAGAAGCCGGCATCGCAGTTTCGGTGGTGAAACGCTGACAGATTGGAGATGTTCAACGCAGTCGGTGTCACGTTACAGTAGTCGAATAACGGGTGAAGAGAGGTCGAAGTGACGTACATCGGCTTCAAAGTGAGCAAAGCAGTCCCTTCACTGATTTCCGAAAAGGGTGGAAATCCGCCCATAATAACAGGCAACGGGGCCATAAGCATGTGGAGATGAGCTACCAACCATAAGGCAAAAACGCTAGTTGTAAGATGAAAGTCAGCACTGGAGGGCAGTGGATTGTGAGGAACCATCTTGTCCTTAAATGGAAAGAAAACAGACTGGTATATACAATCAGTGCAAAAGTACGATGGAAGATAGGGAAGTGTGAAAAAATTTGAGCATAGAAATTTAACCGAAACGTACATGAGTCAGCGAACAGCTGCATAAATTAGTCGACATGGACAAGAGGCAAGCAAAAAAAGAACGCAATTGATGAGCGATACACATCGGGTGATAGAATCGTGAACGACGAATAAGAAACAACAATGCCTGGATCTTGGAGAAGCATAGGGCGGAGCGAAATGAAACGAGTGAAGAACTTAAGAGCCAACATGAGCCGAACTGGCCAACAAGGAACGCCACATGAGGCAAATCATTAAAAACAGATTCCAGACATTTCAGGATAGTGCACGTCTTGAAAAAAAGTCCCTGTGTTCGCGAGTGGACATGATAGAAGGCACAGTGTTACAAAGAATGGACCATTAGGGATAGTGTTTGCTGTCATTTCTCACGGTGTAGGGGTTTCTGACTACCTGGCGAAGAGAATCAAAGTTTGGTAACGAGTGGAACAAATGCCAACACAATAAAAAATATACGACATATGTATTCACAAACGAGCAGTCCAAAGTGGCGACACGTAATCGCGGGTGACAGGTCTTCGGTGAAAATGACAAAGATAAACCATGGCATGTATTGTATGCAAGATAAACACTAAGTTGCGAATAAGCAGATGCTGTAAAAAAAATATTGCGCAAGCTCCTTGGCCACTAGTCGGTCTCCCAGTAAAACACCACAAAAACTGGTAGGCTACAGCCAAAAGGACATAGGGCAACCGCCCCAATCCCCCAGTTGATGATGGAAAAGGATACTGGATGCTGATGGAAAAATCACTCAAGCCAGCATATTTGTGCGGATTCTTAGTTTAGACATCAAGGGGGTTGCAAGAGCCACCACGGCGTGCGACCAAATAGCGAGAAGTTCAAGAAGAAAGAACTTTGTTTTGACCTCGGAGACATTCATTAACCGTAGGCTGGTACGCAGTATCGACGCTTTTCTGCCGCGCAACCATCAACAGTCGCAGGTCGGTTAGAGATACTGCGAGGGTCGCCCGGTCCTCACACAGGCTTGAACCCGCGACGTTAAATTACAAGACAAGCTTGTTACCTTTAGAGCTATAGAAAGGCTCTGAGCACTGAGCTAAGAAACAAGTCGAGTGACAAGAACCATTTGGAAGGTGGCTCTGTCAACGCAGCAGGGCGCACGCATGGTAAAGCAATGCCGACCTTCAAGGAGAAAATCCTCGCTCACGGCACATACGGAACGAACAGGCATGAATTTCTCGGTCACCACCCACTTGCCTGAAATGGAGCGCGGAACAGTAAAATTAGGGTAACATGTAGAAAAATTGCCCAGTCGATCAGAGCTGAATCCCCGCAGTAGTAAAAACAGGGGATTGACAGCTAATCTGGATCGTAATAGCCGATCCGTAGCACTAAAGATCACAAGCTTGCCTTGTAAACCGACGACGCGGGTTCCAGCCTGCGTAGGGACCGGGCGATTCTCGCAGTATTCTTAGCCTACGTACCACCGGTGGTGGTTGCGCAGCAGCAAAGCGTCGGTACTGCGTACTGCTGATGCCTACTGGATCGTGAAATGTAAGCACTCTTCCGGTAGACGTTTGTGAAGTAAAAGGAAGCCTCTAGGTGAAACTAAACCACCTGTTTCAAGAAGGCAGACGACCAGAAAACGGTAAGTTGTAAGAAAACATCCAACAGACTATTGTAAGTTTAAATTGTACACTAAAGGTAAAAAGTCGGAATAAGGTAGATAACTTGCAGGACATAATTCAGTAGGAAACCATCGAAATGGGACGCCAGGTCGAGGTGCACTGACCATGGAAGAAGAATCATGAAGTGTTGTGTCCAAAGGACAAGAACGGAAGAACCTCACAAATCAAAACGGGTGCGCAGGTTTCCGGTATTATACATGTAAAAACGACTGATCTTCACAATAACAAATACATCCGAATAATTACACCACAACTCGATACGGATGTTTCGGTGAGTTCAACCACAAGCGGCAGCATGGTGGCGGTGCTGAAACTCATATCGGAGAACTCGAACTAAGGACCCAGAAGTTAGAAACAAAACACCCGAACTCCGATATTGGCGAATGCCATAGGGGAAGAGTGACAATTGTCTTTTAAACATCCGATTCATAGGAGACGTGTGTGCAACAGAATCTGATGGTGGTAACTTGCACTCAGATTCAGTACGATGACAATTCGGAAAGGGGGGATAAAAGAAAAGGTAACTTGCGAGATAAACGGTCGTTAGCAGCCGATAGCGTCAAACAGGTTGGTGACGCGGTAAATCAGTGTGATTGTGCGTTGTAATGATGTGTCGTCGGAGATGGCCCATTGAAACTCTGTGTCCATCACATGATTTACAACCGCTTTGAGTACAAATGGCAACAAGATGCCTGCTCGCCTTGATGCGGTGGCGATGTTGCGCCCTGTGTCGGCCATACTACACAGATTCCGAATGAGGCATTCTAACACCTTGGACACCGACAGTTGCAAGTCTGGCTGGTATGCTTTACCCACAGTTACATGAGAATGTGGCTAACTAGTCTAGACATATTCGACAGGGGACAAGTATTCTATGGGGAGGGGATTCGCATTTACAACCAATGGGAATAATTACGCCTGTGTTAATACACTGTAACGCCGCTTTAGAGACTCTAGCAATATTCATTCTACCACTTGGAGAAAAAAATCAGTGATGGATTGGAACACAGGTAGCTACAGTTGAAATCTAACATGACATACGGGACAGCACACGTGAAACCTAACGCTTGTGTCATGCTGTGAATTTTACGGTCTAGCAGATCTGATTCAGCTTTTTAACTAATCATCATGTTTTGTATTCTGTTTTTCTTTAGACTTCATTTTATTCACCACCACCACCACCACCATCAGTTACAATCGTCCTCACCGTCACCACCATCAATAGCAACAACAGTAGCAACACAACAGCAGCAATAGTGCAACAGTAAATTGAACTGGTGCTTTGCTGTCGTACAATCACGAATCCGGAAATGAAGAATAATGAGAGGAGGAGAAGGGAACTAGCGTAAAACCGTAGCAACCTAAGCAAACATTCAGGGTGAAGGCGCCTGCTTTTTGTCAACGTCAAACGGTCATAAACCGCTGGCTATCGCGTGGAGGTAACGCAGACGGGCGAAACAGATTCCTTGCAGCATTCACTGCCCCATGTCAGGTCCAGTCATTACCAAGCAGATCACTATTAAAACAGCCAGGCTGGCTGGGAGAAGGTAGCGACAGTGCATTGAGGTTGCAGGTAGTTTGGCGATATCATTATGCCCATTACAGAAAACATTGTGCGTAGCTGCATATGACTGAGGGATGTGCGAAACGGTCTCCTGATTACAGGCTTTAAGACAATTAAAAAATAGGGGCATGAGAAGCGTTTTACCATAACCTAAACTTGTTTTCGCTGAAATATTCCCCATCTGTTGAATCTCACGTATGGATAACGGAGAAAAATTCCTGGCCAGTGCAATGAGTCAATAGTGGGCTGAGGGGGAAGTTGCCAAACCCCAGAATGAGCAAATAGATAAAAGACAACAAAAATAGTTTGGAAGCCTCATTTGCATAAACCTTGTTAAGGATGGGCCCAGCGCCCACAAAGAGATTAGCTCTAGCAATGTGATAGTTGAAGATCACGAGGGATGGTGACGGGTTATAGGATGCGAGTTAGATAGCAGCGTACCAAGTGAAATTTCTCAAGATGGGGGGCTATTGTGGACGGAGACGGTATACCGAAGCCAAAGTCTTCGATTACAGCGTGAAAATAGGCCATCAGTGTAGGAGATATGAGCAGTCGCAACCGTTTGCTTACACAGACCTGGATTGTTTAAAAATTTTCTTCGTGGTATAACAATGCGACACCGCCAGATAACGATGGTGGAAGTAATGAGGCAACAAAAACTGCGAAGTACTTTGACATGACCTCAGGAAAATCTAATAAGATATGGTAGCTCAGAACGTATTTATCTAAACAGGTAGACGGCAGTTCGCCCTTCTAACTGAAGTGAATGATTCGTTAGGTTGGAGGGCTGTAATGATGAACGAGGGACTTGAGAGTTGCGTCTCTAAAATCTGCAACCGAAATGATAACAGTGGGTAGTCGGACCTAGGAAGGAAAACGCACAGGGTTCAACCAATCTTAGGTATAAAAGCCTGACCGGAGGCAGCTGGAAAATGAAATGATCCAGTTTTATAAACATTGATGACGTTCCATTTCCAAGCCCAATCTGGAGCGCTGGAAGACTGGGTTAGTCTGACCTCTAAGCACTAGCCACTATGGTAGGAGTAACTCAAGGGGTGCCATGGCGTCATACAGTAGAAGTGGTACAGACTATCGCAACGTTTTTATCAAAGCGATGCAAGTCATGGGTAATAAATGCAGTACACTTTGGTGTTCGGATCGTGGTAGTCAGTAAACCGGTAATCGGATTGTAGAGAACAGGATGCTTAAGGTGGTGAAACGTAACCAACTACTGCCACTTCCACACATATGTGCAGTCCTCTGACTGGTGACGACAAGTTGATAAGATCAACCGACGACGTAGGAGATGAACAGAGGCAGTAAACGAGCAAACCGAAATTCAGAGTGACAGCTGTTGGAAAATGAACGTAAACAGGCCCAACGGTGGGCATCTATGATTGGCCAGATCGGTATGTCAGTCAGAATACCGTTTATAGCAGGGTTCACAGAAGCAGCTAGATCGTTACAAGGCATGAAATGCAAGCATCCCAGGCAAAGGTTGTGTGCCGCAAGAGAAACGATTTTGTGTGAAAAAGTATTGGTGTGGTGCCACTCAAAATCCAACAATCACATCTGAAGTGTTCGCGACCCTGAGTCAAGAAAAACGTGACACATAAGGCGACCTAGACCGTGCACAGCCTAATCGATTCATCAATTTTCACGTGATCGAAGAAGTAAGTGACAAC